AAAAGGGATATAGAGGGTAAGTACTTAAACATAATAAAGGCCATATATGACAAACCCACAGCCAACATCATACTTAACAGCAAGACGCTGAAAGCTTTTCCTCTAAGATCAGGAACAAAACAGGGACGCCCCACTCTCCCCACTGTTATTCAACATAGTACTGGAGGTCACAGCCATGGCAATCAGACAAAACAAAGAAATACAAGGAACCCAGATTGGTAAAGAAGTCAAACTGTCACTATCTGCAGATGACATGATATTGCATATAAAAAACCCTAAAGACTCCACTCCAAAACTACTAGAACTAATATTGGAATTCAGCAAATTTGCAGGATAAAATATTAATACACAGAAATCTGTTGCTTTCCTATACACTAACGATGAGCTAGCAGAAAGGGAAATCAGGAAAACAATTCCATTCACAACTGCTTCGAAAAGAATAAAATACCTATGAATAAACCTAACCAAGGAAGTGAAAGACCTATACCATGAAAAGTACAAGACACTCATGAGACAAATTAAAGACGACACCAGTAAATGGAAATACATCCCGTGGTCATGGATAGGAAGAATTAATATTGTCAAAATGGCCATCCTGCCTAAAGCAATCTACAGATTCAATGCAATGCTTATCAAAATTCCAACAGCATTCTTCAACAAACTAGAGCAAATAGTTCTAAAATTCACATGGAGCCACAAAAGACCCCGAATAGCCAAAGCAATCCTGAAAAGCGAGAGTAAAACTGGGGGTGGAGGGGTGGAGGGGCTCTACTATAAAGCCACAGTTATCAAGACAATTTGTACTGGCATAAGAACAGACCAACAGATCAATGGAACAGAATAGAGAGTCCAGATATAAACCCAAGCACATATGCTCAGTTAATATATGACAAAGGAGCTATCAATATACAATGGAGAAATACAGCCTGTTCAACTGGTGTTGGCAAAAGTGGACAGCTACATGTGAGACATGAAACTGGATTATTGTCTAACTTCATACACAAAAGTAAACTAAAAATGGATTAAGAAGACCTGAATGTAAGTTGCGAAACCATAAAACTCTTAGAAAGAAACATTGGCAAAACTCTATTGGACATAAATGTGGGCACCTTTTTCACAAACATATCTCCTTTGGTAAGGGAAACAAAAGCAAAAATGAACGAATGTGACTACATCAAACTAAAAACCTTCTGTACAGCAAAGGACACCATCAGCAGAACAAAAAGGCATCCTACAGTATGGGAGAATATATTAATAAATGACATATCCAAGAAGGGGTAAACATCCAAAATATATAAAGAATTCATATGCCTCAACACCCAAAATGCAAATAACTTGATTAAAAAATGGGCAGAGGATCTGAACAAACTTGTCCAAAGAAGAAATTCAGATGGGCAACATGCATATGAAAAGATCCTCCACGTTGCTAATTATCAGGGAAATGCAAATTAAAACCACAATGAGATATCACATCACACCAGTTAGGATAACCAACATTCAAAACACAAGGAACAACAAATGCTGGTGAGATGTGGAGAAAGGGGAACCCTCCTACACTGTTGGTGGGAATGTAAATTAGTTCAAATATTTTGGAAAGTGAAATGGGGGTTCCTCAAAAAACTAAAAATAGAAAAACCATTGGACCCAGGAATTCCACTCCTAGAAATTTACCCAAAGAAAACAAGATCCCAGATTAAAAAAGACATATGCACCCCTATGTTCATCACAGCACTATTTACAATAGCCAAGATATGGAAACAGGTGAATGGATAAAGAAGACGTGATACCTATACACAATGGAATATTATTCTGCCATAAGAAGAAAAGTCGTCCTACCATTTGCAACAACATCGTTGGAACTAGAGGGTATTATGCTCATTGAAATAAGACAGGTGTAGAAAGACAAGTATCAAATGATTTCACTCATTTGTGGAGTATAAGAACAAAGCAAAACTGAAGGATCAAAATAGCAGCTGACTCACAGACTTGAAGGGAGAAGGGGATTCAGGGGTTTTTTTGTTTTTTTTTTTTATGTTTGGGGGTCACGGGGAAGGCACTACAGCACAGAGAAGACAAGTAGTGACTCTATAGCATCTTCTATGCTGATGGACAGTGATTGCAATGGCATATGTGAGGGGAACTTGATAATATGGGTGAATGTAATAACCAGTGTTACTCATGTGAAACCTTTATAAGATTGTATATCAATGATACCTTAATAAATAATAAAAAGGAAGTTGTAAGTGATGAACCTCATTATATTCAGTTTAATTCATTCAAAACTTAAGTTGATGTGCTTTTTATATTTATTGAGAAAATTTTCTAAGTTAGGCACTATGTTATGGGGTGTTGGTCCTTCAGCTCATGAAGAATCTATAATCTTATACAGACTAATGTGTAAACAAATGCTATTCAAGATGTAATATTCTGTGATACAAGGTGTGTATAAACACCATCAGAGAAAGCTTCACAAAACAGTGATACCAGAGAGAAATCTTGATGACAAGTATTTGCTAGGCAGCCAAGGAAGAGATGCCATTGTAAGTGAAGAGCAAGGAGCCTGAAATGGAATTAAACATATAGGAAATGTTCCAGTCCTAGAGCAGGAGAGGGTAAGTGGTGGCAACGGAAGCAGGGATCAGACCATAAAAGTCATGCTATATGACAGTATGTACACAGTGCACTGGATTTAAGGGGGGGGTACATAATGTTAATGTCTTATTGCTAGTGATGTTAACCCTCTATGCTAAGTTTCTTCACTGTAAAGTTACTAGTTTTCCTTTTGTAATTAATATTTTTAAAGATATACTTTGATAATCTGTAAAAATCTTGTTTCTCCTTAAATTTCACCCATTAACTTTAGAATTCATCAATGGGTCTTGTCTGCTACTATGGTGGATTGTTATTTTCTCTCTCATTCCTTGTGCATTTATTAACTGGCATTCTTCCTAAAGACAGTTGTTCCTTTTACCTGTCCCAGTCTCTTTATTAAAAAAAAAACTAATTCTATTCTTTTGCTCATCTTTTGAGATTTTGACATATTTCTGATCAATTAATATTAACTTTTATATGATAAAAATACTAACTTTCATATAAACTTCTGCTAGTCTCTCCAGTCTGTCCTTTTATTTTTCCATTACATGTTTTAGTCTCATATTTGAATATAATCCCCTTTGTGATTTCTTTCTAATTTATATTTTCCTACCAAGTATTTGAAAAAATTAAAATCTAGTTTTTTTATTACCTTCATGTGTTGTTTCAAGAAGATAATTTTTTTCACAAATCTGAGTTTACTTGGTATAGAGAAAATTATTGTAATGCTCCCGTCAATGCTAACTCATCCTACTCATGATTATTAAATAATCCTTCTTTCACTAATACTATTTCTTTATTAAAATCTTATAATTTGATCTTTTCCTGTATATTCTGTTCTTTGCTCTTTATCACACTATTTGAATTATGGTTCCTTTATAGTATCACATTGTTATGTTTTAACATAGTAAGTAATGATAGTTTGTCTTCATTGTACTCCAGTTTCAGAAAATTTTTAAATATTTTTCAATTAACTATAAATTAAAAATGTAATTGCACAAGTATTGAATGACTACATGCATATGTAAGTTTATTTATAAAATCCTTAAATTCTTAGGATAATAGAGAAGGCCTTATTGATTTGATTTGACCCACATCTATACTCTCTGATCTTACCTATCACCACTCTAACTCCCTACATTCTGCCACCATGTTATTTCTATTTCTGAAATATACCAAGCTTATTCCACTGTCATTCCCTCGATATTGTGAACTTTTTCCGGCTATCTTTAAACTGTTGGCCTTTTTTGTCATTAAAGTCTCAGCACAGATGTTGCCTCAGAGGGACTGCCCTTGACCACTTTTACCTAGTGCTATCTTCACACCTCTGCATTCTCTACCATCTTATGGTTTTATTTTCCTTACTCTCTGAAATTGTCTTATGTATTTGTTTACTTCCGTCTTACTCACCAGAATTCATACACTGTATAAGAGCCAGGGTTATGGATCTCTCTTCTTCACATCAGCCCTAATGTGAGAATGGTACATGGCTCATAGTGGGAGGGATCCATACATACACATGTGGTGTCTGGATATTTATTACCAATACGTAACTTCTGAAAAACCACTAAGATCATACTATAAGTATTGTTCTATATCTTTGTTTTTTAACTTTAGCTGTCTTGGAGTTCTTTCTATGTCAGCACATCAGGATCTATGTGATTGGTTTTACTTATTGCATTAGATAACATGGATGTAACATTCCTGTATCACAGTAAATTTAATTACTTTTCAAATTTTTTCTAAAACAAAAAAAACAATTCTTTCAACTGAGAACTCTCCCAAATACATTTGGTAATTCAATTTACTAAAATTGTACCTCTGAATAGGTATGTATCTAGGAGCTCTGTATCTTTTATTTTTATAGTACAGGTAAGGCTCACAAACATTGATTCTTATACAATGATTAGACAGGTGTCTTATGAAGTTAACAGTTACGTTATCAGTTCCACCAATTCTATTTTAGGTTTTTGGCCCTTTCCTCCTTAGTTTTAAGTGAAGTTATAAAAGAGACGGATTAAATATGTCACTTTTTTATCTGCTCCCCCTTCCCCGTCCCTTGTATTTGACTGGATCATCCCATCAATGGGATCTGACTGCAAGAAAACAAAGAGCAAAAAAAATAACACATGACTTTGAAGACATTTTAAAAATTAAAAAACATAATTTTAAGAATAATAGTAATACCCAAAATAACGTCCCCTGTATTATAACCTACCATGACAGATACCAGAAGTATTAAATTGCAGCATTGTCTGACGCCATGTGATTATTCTATCCTCTATCAATTTATTTATGCAGATAATATTTATTTCCGTAAGTATACTGTTGAATACCTTATAACATTATAATGATATTACCAAAGTATCCCAACAGGTTTTTTTTTTTAAAGGGAAAGAAATACTTACTCTGCCACTTATGGCATCTATATCTATTTCTGCCTTTTTAGCCCATTTCTGCCAGAAGTTGGGATCATCTAAGGAAATATCAGTCCGGTTTCCAGATGCCACAAAGCTTGCCTGAAATATATATAGCAGTTTTTAAAAATGTTTAAAGCTTACAGGAAAAAATCCATCAAAGTATTTTTAAAACATTATCTCCTCACATATACTATGGATAGAATCTGAATCTAGCATACACATGTACATTCAAAGGGTATGGCAAACACTATGGTTTGAAACATAGCACAGCAAATGTTTAAGGCAAAAGGCTTAATGACAACCTAGGCTGGAGTTTTAGGAGCAAGAGTAAATAAGTTATTACTGTTGTTTAAGTCAAACTTACAGTAAGTTAAGCGTCAAATGTTTTTGGCCAAGAAACTATACAAGACAGACATATGGTTTCTAGACACTAAATGAATATTAAGAAATTAGGTTAGATCAAGAATTCCAATCCTGCTTGCCCTACACAGTTCATTTTCTGGTATACTATTTACTTCCATTACACTTTTAGATAGATATGTCTCATAAAGAAAATGCAATGAAGGATATGAGAAATTAAAGAAAAATCAATCACTATCTGTATTTTGAAAACTTTTTTTGCAGCAAATATACTGCATAATCATTGTAAAAATGTAAGAAATTACAGAGGAAGAAAAGAAAATATAAGTGATTTATTTTCTTAAATACTATAAAAATAAAAAATCTTTTACTTGTAACACACTTTAGATATTACAGTTCAACACTATAAGTAACTACTATTTACAACTTAAGTTCCTGAAAATAGATGACATGTTAAAGAAAGTAATCAAAGTGCTTTATAAAAATGAATAAGCAGTAAAGATACATGATGCTCTAAGAAAGGAAAGGGCCTGAATAATGCATGCTAATTCTACGAAAAAAATGGAAGAATATGCACACATAAAATGATTATCAAAGGAGAATATAATTGGTAAATGTCTTTAAGATACTGTCTGATTATCTGGGATATATCAAACAATACAAATCTTCATTAAAAAACCCATTTTGATGGAATCTTAAAATTCACAACATTACACATTTAAAAAGATAATAAACTCATAAGGAAACAAGTCATTCATGACACTCAAGATAAATGTAAGTTTGAACACTGGAAAATTGATGGTATCAAGGAATTATTATTAATTTTATTTTTAAATGTGATAATAGAATTGCGGTTATATTCATGTATAGTGAGAAGTTCACTGAAGTTCCTAGTTTTTATTTTGTACTACAGTTTCATTGAAACAGGCCTTTTGAGATTTGACCAATTCAGCAAATAAGCATTTGCTTTACATGAATGGGAGTACACATAACATGAAAAATCACTGGATATGAAAAGTCATTAAAGGAAAACAATTAGATTTTTGAAAAGTTTATCACTGTTTATCTTAAAAAAATTCTATGTTAAAGTAGATAATCATTTTTATTCTGCTACCAGATAACCTGGTAATTCAAACAGTTTATCTGAAATTATACTTCATGATTAAATAGCTTTTGTTATATTCATTTTAAGAGAAATGATAAATTTATTATTCAAGTAAAATATTTCTAATATTTCTAATTAATTCTAGATGCTATTCCATATGCTACCAGACATATAAATTATTTTCAAGATGACTCACACAATTATCAAGGTTTATAACAATGGCTTGATGTCTACAGAAGGGATATGCCTGTTGTGAAAAATGTCAAGTACAGGTTTAGAGTCTATATTTCTAAGTGTTAAATCTTAAAACACTAGTTCCCTGTGAAAATATTTTTCTTTAAATGTATTCCTTCAATCATTATATCCTTTTATTATTTACAAGGGAAGACATTTAAATGGTAAAATACACCCTCCTCTATCAGAAAGTAGTAGAAAGATGATAGCAGGTGCCACAGAAAAGGCCTTACAAATAGCAATCCACTGAAACTTGGTTCAGACTGCTTTGTTTTTGTAAATTAAGCAATTCAAAGTCTTGTTCTATATCAAATATAAAAAAATCAGACCAGAAACTTTAAAGTTTCTAGGATCCACCTGATTGTCCTTTTGAAAATCTCTCAAAACAAGGTTTAGGTGATATGAAATTACCAATAAAGAATTTTATTTTATGGATACATACATATGCTCCATCTATGTAGCTTATCAAAACCGATTTGATAATGCAAAGAAATACAGACTGGAATTACTTCATTTATCCAAACCACAGAAAAAAAAAATTGAGTATAGCAGAAGTCTTTGGAAATTCCAAAGAAAAAGTACAAAATACTATTAACTTTGAAACTATGGTGCCACTATGCCTGAAACCCACTGTATAGTAGAATTCCCACACAACTATGGAAATGAACAAATCACATGAGAACTACAGGCAAACAACTCTGGACTCTCTTCAGCTATTATGGTACCTTTTCAGTCAGCTCTCTTTACAAATCTAAGTTATTCCAGTCTGAGGGTTTAAAATAGACATTTAAATGCTTATGTGTCTCACCTTCTTGGAGCACAGCTGGTTATGATTAGAGTATATCAGAGTAAAACAATATGCATATAGCACTTTATGGTATAAAGATTATTATGCTCTCTTCTTTAAAAACAAGAGACTCATAAAGGTTAATTGTCCAAGGACACTCAGCTTAAGAGTAAGAATTTAAACCGTTGTGTTCCAATTTTATGTGTTTATCGTAATTTACATGGCAAACGAAGAAGTCTGTAATCATATGTGGTCATTAAGTGCTTAACATATGCCACCATAATTTAAAAAATAAGGAGAATATATCAATGCTTAGGCTAACCAGCAAAGGTGATTTCTATGACTAAAAACTTTCCATTAAATTAATAAGATTTCAAATAATTTCAGGCATGAGGAAAAAATATCTGTACATAGTGTGTTGACAACTTGAGTAGAGCAACAGTAAATGGAATTTCTCAGGAAAAAGCTAGAGCCCAGGTAAATCTACTCTATCATGACTAGTACTTATTCTTAGCCTTACATTTCTGCATTATTTCTACAGTTTTCACAATTCTACTCTCTTCTGGTTTATTCGCTGTTCACACTCTATTAGCACTCAAATCTATAGCTGCATTCTAGGCAATTCTCCTGGACACCTCTCTACGTGGATGCTCAGTCAATGCTACAAATACTACATTACCAGTATTTTATTTTCTCCATATGAATTTCCTTTTCTTGCATTCTCTACCTTAATGACGGTGAGTCTTCTACCTACTTGAGCCAGAAATCTTCAAGTCATGTTTTACTCCTCCTTTACCAAATTTCTAACTGGTCATCAACTCCTTTCCTAGTGGATCTCCACTACCCAAAATCTTATTCTATAAAGCCTCTTATGTAGTTTCCTTGCCTCTGAAGCCTTTCTCTTTCAAACTCATTTTCTACACTGCTGCTAGAGTTAAATTTCTAAACTGGATCACAGTATGTCCATTTTTTGCTTGAAGGGATTTAAAGGCTTTTTAACTGCCTCAGGATCAAGTTTAAATCCCTCAAAATGGAATTTTTTTGAGCCCTTCACAATTTGGGTCCAACCTCCCTAATCCCTTCAGTATCATGTCCATTTAATTCATCCTGTGCAGCCATACATGCACATGTTATATTCTATAAAATCATCCTCATAGTCTATTAACATATGATTTATTTTACTTCTTCATAACACAATACAGTCCACACTTCCTTCAATAGTCAGCTCAAATGTTATTTTCTCTGCAAAGAACTTTGATTCTCTAGCTCTCCAATTTCATATAGAATTAATATTTTTCTTTTACTTTTTTCAACTACTACAACAATTTTTAGTATTTCCAGCACTTAATAAAGTACCTGACAAAAGATTCCATTAGTTTATTGAAATGAATGCATAAGAAAAGCTTCCATTTGAAGGTGACAGTACATTTTTGAGCACATGCACTACCTGCCACCAGCAGTGCTCTCTCCACAAAGATAAAGGAAGATACCCTAGTTCAAAGTGGAGAGAGAGTAGAGAAGGAGGAAAATGTAGAGAGCAAGTAGAAGGGAGAAAACCTGTGTGAATCAGTGTAGGTGGGATAGAATATTGAATAACCTCTTCAGATGAATGTAGGTTTACCATGTCTCTGTTGAAAAAACACAAGAACAAAAAGGAATATAAAGGCAGTAAAGTTTTAAAATGTTTTCCCAAAATAGGGTGGATGGACAGTTAATACTTCCTTTTAAGACACAAATTTCATTGTACCTTCCCCAGATTAGGTTTAAATATTTAAAATGAATTTAGAAATCCTTTCTCTGCTTTAAGGACTTTAAGTTAAAGTAAGGTAATGTAATCTGCTACATTATTATTTATCTTTTTTTCTGCCTTTGGCATGTATGTTGTTTAATTTCTAAATTTGATTTCACATGTCCTAATCTGATTAGTACTTAGAACTATTTCTAGTTATTATACTTATTCCATTTCTCTAGAGTCAGAAAAGTACATTTGAAATTTGTTATGAAAGATCAGAAAGAGAATGAAGGGAAAGAATATATTACCTACTTTTAAGATAGTTTAGTTTATTTAAACATTAAGCAGATGGCTCTGCAAATAGTAGAGTAAGAGACAAATTTTTAGTAGCAAACATTACTGGTGTATTTATAAATTAGCATTCACTATTACCTTGGCAAATGTTGACCCACGTCCTTCTGATTCAATTGTAATAGTTTTTGTACGACGTAGTAGAATCTGATCAATATCCTCTTCACAGAATTTAGAGCCTTCATCTTCTTCTTCCATAATGGCACCATAAGCACCTCTTCGAAGCAGATCTTCTATTTCCTTTTTGGAAAGCTGTTGAATCTAAAGAGAAAATAATTATGGTGACAATATATATGTATTTTCAGTTCATGAAATGAGAAATTCCTAAAGAATGTAAAAGTCGAGACATCATATTTAGATTGCACTCCAGGCTTGGGATGTACATGGTAAAGAATTCTCTGAAACAATATACTGAAGTTGTTAACACTCCCTACCATCTTAAGACTTGTCATTTGCCTAAAATGGCTTCAGTAAGAACAAAGCCTATAGGGCAGGTAACCTCTCAAGGTTCTTTTTACTAGGATTCTATAGCTGCTACAAATGCAAGATAGGACAATAATCTTGAGGGAAAAAAATTCACCAAAACATCATTTATAACAAGAGAAAGCCAAAGCATTTAGTTTAACACTTGAAAAAAATAATCAGAAAAAAACTATAGAAATAATGTAAAAATTTTCACAAATTGTTTTACTATGCCCTGATACAAATGTCCTAAAAGTAGAGCAAATAATTTTACCTTAAAAATATTCTTAGAATTCATAAGCACTGGAGTTATACAGACAGAACAAGTGTTCAAAAGCATTAATTAAATATTGCTTTATTCTGTAACCACATAAAGCTACCCATTAAGTGTTCTGTATGGACCAGAATTAAATGATAAACTTTCTGAGATTTAAAGTAAATGCAAGCAAAAACAAAAAGCTCCAAATGAAAAAGAAAATATACATACACCACCAACATTACTTTCTCTTCCACTCATGCTCTGTAACACAGCCTTATCGAGACCCAGTTTCAGACTGGCTCGGTCAAACATTTCTCTCTCATATGAGTTACGAGTTACTAGTCGGTAGACTTTAACTGCTTTATTCTGACCAATTCTGTGGCAACGAGCTTGGGCCTATAAAAAAATGAAAAGTTACAGATTCAATTTATTTGAAAAATAGCACAAAAGGCATTACACAAAAGGCATTTAATAGTCAACTATCTTGATGAAATATAAAAGTCTAAGAATTTTGGACACTCTTGTTACTTGATATACTTTCTCTAGAATCAATAAGCAATAAGTAAAACTTTATAAATACATGAAGGATCATTATTTTTTCCCCTTTTTTTAAAAGGTATTATTGGTATACAATCTTATGAAGGTTTCACATGATCAACACTGTGGTTACTACATTCACCTGTATTATCAAGACCTCCCCACCACCCCATTGCAGTCATTGTCCATCAGCGTAGTATGATGCAATAGTCAGAGAAGTACTTTAATCTGATATTAAGAATGTCATTCATACACAAGGAAATTAGCCTGTTTTCTTTATATAATCCTAACCCTTTCATAGTTTCTTCATTTTTTTCTCCATTTACTATTTCAAACAGAATTCTGTGTTTTTTCTAGTGCTATAGTCTTGATTTCTTCAGGACTTCTATACGGGTGTCTCTTCCCAGAAGAACTCAAACTTCATTGAAGTGCTTGCAGTGTACTGGTTCTTTCAAAAACCTCTCTGGTCCTGTAACTCCCTGCTAACCTATAGATGTATCATTGATATACAATCTTATAAAAGTTTCACATGAACAACACTGTGACTATTACATTCACCCATATTATTAAGTCCCCCCACCACATACCCCATTGCAGTCACTGTGCATCAGCATAGTAAGATGCTAGAGTTCACTACTTGTCTTCTCTGTGCTGTACTGCCTTCTCCGTGACCCCCTTACATTGTGTGCGCTAACCACAATACCCCTGAATCCCCTTCTCCATCCCATCCCACCCACTTCCCTTTGCTACCCACTTGTCTCTTCTTGGAGTCTGTGAGTGGGCTGCTGTTTTGTTCTGTTTTGCTTTGTTGTTATGCTCCACAGATGAATGAAATCATTTGGTACTTGTCTTTCTGCGCCCGGCTTATTTCACTGAGCATAATTCCCTCTAGCTCCATCCATATTGATGCAAATGGTAGGATCTGTTTTCTTCTTATGGCTGAATAATATTACATTGTGTATTTGTACCACCTCTTGCCTATTGTAAATAGTGCTGTGTTAAGCACAGGTGTGCATACGTCTTTTTGAATTTGTGATCTTGTTTTCTTGGGGTAAATTCCTGGGAGTGGAATTCCTGGGTCCAATGGTAGTTCTATTTTTAGTTTTTTGAGGAACCTCCATAGTGCTTTCCACAATGGCTGAACTAATTTACATTCCCACTTACAGTGTAGGAGGGTTCCCCTTTCTGAGGATCATTATTTTTTAAAGATGGTGTCATCAATACAATTTTGTGAACAGTTTTTCAGCTGCCTGTAAGTCAAGCTTTAAACTTAAAACCTAACCTAAATTGCTAAAATATTTTCTACTACATTATCAACAACCTTTTGAACATGTTAGCTAACCTGAGTAATTCTGAGTGATAAAAACCTAAGGTGAATAAACCTAGAGACCTGAAGTTTTATTTAATGTGAAAGAACTAATTATGTAATATGCAGACATGTTAGAAGTAGAGATATCAGAGATTATATAAAAATTTCATACTGTCTTGAGTTCCTACTAAATTTAAAATTTGTATGATAGACTCCACATGTTCCACAGAATCAATGGTCTTTCCCCCAATTTATTAATCATCTTCCCATTATCTTCCAAAGATTAAATCATAAATTGCAGCTTCAAAATTTATAGGTAGCATTGATGTTATAGCCTTTCTTGACATCTTTATTCTATCCATATCTACTCTGTGCTCTGTAGAATGCAGAATTTTGAATGAACAATTGCTCCAGGTCTAGGGGAAGTACAAGAGACCAAAATTTTTTTTACTGGTAAAATTAAAGAAAGCTTTATTTTGAAAAAATGAAGGTGGTTATCTTCCAGCAGAGTAACTGTATCAGAGCTCCCAGAATTTTTATTTTTTTAAATCAAGGTATCATTGATATACAATCTTATGATAGTTTCACATGAGCAACATTGTGGTTTCAACATTCACCCATATTATCAAGAACCCCACCCCCACCCCATTGCAATCACTGTCCGTTGGCATAGTAAGATGTTATAGATTCATTACTTGTCTTCTCCATGCTATACTGCCTTCCCTGTGACCTACCAATATTGTGAATACTAATTATAGTGCCCCTAATCCCCTTCTCCCTCTCATACCACCCACCCTTCAGACCCCCTTCCCTCTGGTAACTGCTAGTCTTTTCTTGGAGTCTATGAGTCTGCTGCTGTACTCCACAAATGAGTGAAATCATTTGGTACTTGACTTTCTCCACCGGGCTTATTTCACTGAGCATAATACCCTGTAGCTCTATTCACGTTGCTGCGAAAGGTAAGATTTGTTTTCTTCTTACGGCTGAATAATACTCCATTGTGTATATATGTACCACCTCTTCTTTATCCATTCATCTATTGATGGGCACTTAGGTACCTTCATATCCTGGTTATGGTAAATAACGCTGTGATAAACAGAGGGGTGCATATGTCTTTTTGAATCAGGGATCTTGTTTTCTTCGGGTAAATTCCTAGAAGTGGTATCACTGGGTCCAATGGTATTTCTATTTTTAGTTTTTTGAGGAACCCCTCCATAGTACTTTCCACAATGGCTAATCCTATTCACATTCCAACTGACAGTGTAGGAGGGTTCCCCTTTCTCCACATCCTTGTCAGCATTTGTTGTTCCTTTTCTTTTTGCTGTTGGCCATCTTAACTGGTGTGAGGTGGTATTTCACTGCAGTTTTAATTTGCATTTCCCTGATAATCAGTAATGTGAAGCATCTTTTCATATGCCTGTTGGCCATCTGAATTTCTTCTTTGGAGAAGTGTCTGTTCAGATCCTCCGCCCATTTTTTAATCTGGGTTATTTGTTTTGTGGGTGTTAAGGCCTGTGAGCTCTTTAGGTATTTTGGATGTTAATCCCTTATTGGATAAGTCATTTACAAATATATTCTCCCATACTGTAGGGTGCCTTTTTGTTCTGCTGATGGTGTCCTTTACTGTATAGAAGCTTTTTAGTCTGATGTAGTCTCATTTGTTCATTTTTGCTTTCGTTTCCCTTGCCTGAGACATGCTTAGGAAAAAGTTGCTCATGTTTATATTCAAGACATTTTTGCCTACATTTTCTTCCATGAGTTTTATGGTTTCATGGCTAACATTCAGGTTTTTGATCCATTCTGAGTTTACCTTTGTGCGTAGAGTTAGACAATAATCCAATTTCATTCAAAAGAGACCAAATTTTTCAATTAGTCTATAAAGATTAGATCTACAATAGGAGTAGGCAGGAAAAACCTAGTGAGAGTGATCCTACTAGTCGGTAGACTTTAACTGCTTTATTCTGACCAATTCTGTGGCAACGAGCTTGGGCCTATAAAAAAATGAAAAGTTACAGATTCAATTTATTTGAAAAATAGCACAAAAGGCATTACACAAAAGGCATTTAATAGTCAACTATCTTGATGAAATATAAAAGTCTAAGAATTTTGGACACTCTTGTTACTTGATATACTTTCTCTAGAATCAATAAGCAATAAGTAAAACTTTATAAATACATGAAGGATCATTATTTTTTCCCCTTTTTTTAAAAGGTATTATTGGTATACAATCTTATGAAGGTTTCACATGATCAACACTGTGGTTACTACATTCACCTGTATTATCAAGACCTCCCCACCACCCCATTGCAGTCATTGTCCATCAGCGTAGTATGATGCAATAGTCAGAGAAGTACTTTAATCTGATATTAAGAATGTCATTCATACACAAGGAAATTAGCCTGTTTTCTTTATATAATCCTAACCCTTTCATAGTTTCTTCATTTTTTTCTCCATTTACTATTTCAAACAGAATTCTGTGTTTTTTCTAGTGCTATAGTCTTGATTTCTTCAGGACTTCTATACGGGTGTCTCTTCCCAGAAGAACTCAAACTTCATTGAAGTGCTTGCAGTGTACTGGTTCTTTCAAAAACCTCTCTGGTCCTGTAACTCCCTGCTAACCTATAGATGTATCATTGATATACAATCTTATAAAAGTTTCACATGAACAACACTGTGACTATTACATTCACCCATATTATTAAGTCCCCCCACCACATACCCCATTGCAGTCACTGTGCATCAGCATAGTAAGATGCTAGAGTTCACTACTTGTCTTCTCTGTGCTGTACTGCCTTCTCCGTGACCCCCTTACATTGTGTGCGCTAACCACAATACCCCTGAATCCCCTTCTCCATCCCATCCCACCCACTTCCCTTTGCTACCCACTTGTCTCTTCTTGGAGTCTGTGAGTGGGCTGCTGTTTTGTTCTGTTTTGCTTTGTTGTTATGCTCCACAGATGAATGAAATCATTTGGTACTTGTCTTTCTGCGCCCGGCTTATTTCACTGAGCATAATTCCCTCTAGCTCCATCCATATTGATGCAAATGGTAGGATCTGTTTTCTTCTTATGGCTGAATAATATTACATTGTGTATTTGTACCACCTCTTGCCTATTGTAAATAGTGCTGTGTTAAGCACAGGTGTGCATACGTCTTTTTGAATTTGTGATCTTGTTTTCTTGGGGTAAATTCCTGGGAGTGGAATTCCTGGGTCCAATGGTAGTTCTATTTTTAGTTTTTTGAGGAACCTCCATAGTGCTTTCCACAATGGCTGAACTAATTTACATTCCCACTTACAGTGTAGGAGGGTTCCCCTTTCTGAGGATCATTATTTTTTAAAGATGGTGTCATCAATACAATTTTGTGAACAGTTTTTCAGCTGCCTGTAAGTCAAGCTTTAAACTTAAAACCTAACCTAAATTGCTAAAATATTTTCTACTACATTATCAACAACCTTTTGAACATGTTAGCTAACCTGAGTAATTCTGAGTGATAAAAACCTAAGGTGAATAAACCTAGAGACCTGAAGTTTTATTTAATGTGAAAGAACTAATTATGTAATATGCAGACATGTTAGAAGTAGAGATATCAGAGATTATATAAAAATTTCATACTGTCTTGAGTTCCTACTAAATTTAAAATTTGTATGATAGACTCCACATGTTCCACAGAATCAATGGTCTTTCCCCCAATTTATTAATCATCTTCCCATTATCTTCCAAAGATTAAATCATAAATTGCAGCTTCAAAATTTATAGGTAGCATTGATGTTATAGCCTTTCTTGACATCTTTATTCTATCCATATCTACTCTGTGCTCTGTAGAATGCAGAATTTTGAATGAACAATTGCTCCAGGTCTAGGGGAAGTACAAGAGACCAAAATTTTTTTTACTGGTAAAATTAAAGAAAGCTTTATTTTGAAAAAATGAAGGTGGTTATCTTCCAGCAGAGTAACTGTATCAGAGCTCCCAGAATTTTTATTTTTTTAAATCAAGGTATCATTGATATACAATCTTATGATAGTTTCACATGAGCAACATTGTGGTTTCAACATTCACCCATATTATCAAGAACCCCACCCCCACCCCATTGCAATCACTGTCCGTTGGCATAGTAAGATGTTATAGATTCATTACTTGTCTTCTCCATGCTATACTGCCTTCCCTGTGACCTACCAATATTGTGAATACTAATTATAGTGCCCCTAATCCCCTTCTCCCTCTCATACCACCCACCCTTCAGACCCCCTTCCCTCTGGTAACTGCTAGTCTTTTCTTGGAGTCTATGAGTCTGCTGCTGTACTCCACAAATGAGTGAAATCATTTGGTACTTGACTTTCTCCACCGGGCTTATTTCACTGAGCATAATACCCTGTAGCTCTATTCACGTTGCTGCGAAAGGTAAGATTTGTTTTCTTCTTACGGCTGAATAATACTCCATTGTGTATATATGTACCACCTCTTCTTTATCCATTCATCTATTGATGGGCACTTAGGTACCTTCATATCCTGGTTATGGTAAATAACGCTGTGATAAACAGAGGGGTGCATATGTCTTTTTGAATCAGGGATCTTGTTTTCTTCGGGTAAATTCCTAGAAGTGGTATCACTGGGTCCAATGGTATTTCTATTTTTAGTTTTTTGAGGAACCCCTCCATAGTACTTTCCACAATGGCTAATCCTATTCACATTCCAACTGACAGTGTAGGAGGGTTCCCCTTTCTCCACATCCTTGTCAGCATTTGTTGTTCCTTTTCTTTTTGCTGTTGGCCATCTTAACTGGTGTGAGGTGGTATTTCACTGCAGTTTTAATTTGCATTTCCCTGATAATCAGTAATGTGAAGCATCTTTTCATATGCCTGTTGGCCATCTGAATTTCTTCTTTGGAGAAGTGTCTGTTCAGATCCTCCGCCCATTTTTTAATCTGGGTTATTTGTTTTGTGGGTGTTAAGGCCTGTGAGCTCTTTAGGTATTTTGGATGTTAATCCCTTATTGGATAAGTCATTTACAAATATATTCTCCCATACTGTAGGGTGCCTTTTTGTTCTGCTGATGGTGTCCTTTACTGTATAGAAGCTTTTTAGTCTGATGTAGTCTCATTTGTTCATTTTTGCTTTCGTTTCCCTTGCCTGAGACATGCTTAGGAAAAAGTTGCTCATGTTTATATTCAAGACATTTTTGCCTACATTTTCTTCCATGAGTTTTATGGTTTCATGGCTAACATCCAGGTTTTTGATCCATTCTGAGTTTACCTTTGTGCGTAGAGTTAGACAATAATCCAATTTCATTCAAAAGAGACCAAATTTTTCAATTAGTCTATAAAGATTAGATCTACAATAGGAGTAGGCAGGAAAAACCTAGTGAGAGTGATCCACTGGACAATCTGGTACAGTTTTTCAAGTTCCTCTTCAGGCTTGGTAATGTGACTTTGTTATTTTATTTTAGATTAACTTTTAGAACATCATGAGCATCACAGGCAGTTTTGCATTCTAAAGGCAAATAATTATGATTTGAGTTTAACCTAGGAATGGGCAAACTACAGCCAGTGGACTAAATCTGGCCTGTCAACTAAGAATGGCTCTTTCATTTTGAAAGGACTACAAAAACAAAAACACCAAGAATGTATGACAGAGAACTTTCATGGCCTAGAAAGCCCAGAATATTTACTAATTAGCCTTCTACAGAATAATTTGTCCCTAGTTTTAGTCTATTAATTTTGGGTAAGCATTTGAAATTTTGAATTAAATTACACAGAGTAATTAAAATGATCATGAACAACAAATTTCTTTTACTTTTATCTTCTCATAACTTTCCTAGATGCTTATCCTTCTGTATACTTTGAATCACCCTAGTTAATACTCTTATGTTTCTATGAAATCCAAGTACAGTCTTAACTTATATGTACAACACCTTCATCTTCTACAATATCTCACAAAAAGGCATACTTTATTATGTCCCAATTCTATGCATACTATATTATACGATGACTAAGATGAAACTAGGATAAACAAGTACTTATTTTTAAGGAAGCAAAAGTCAGAAATTTTTATGTATTAGAAATGCTTAGGCCTCTCTCAGATTTACCTAATATTGTATTTTACACATTAAATACTGTACTTAAGTAGGTAAAACCTTTTTAGAAGATATATAATCTAAATAAGCATTACATTTTACTGTCATTAAATTAAAATGAGACCAATTTCACTTATATTATTTGGCACAGATACTTCTTTGGGACACATTAATTTGTCCAGCTAAAAACAAAATGTTAAGTATTAAAAGTGATTATAGGAATTGAAAAAAGTTAATTCTCTTAGCCAAGGAATTTATTTACCTGAAGATCATTTTGAGGATTCCAGTCAGAATCAAAAATTATACATGTATCAGCTGCAGTTAAATTGATGCCCAACCCACCAGCTCGGGTACACAAAAGAAAAACAAATCGATCTGAATCAGGTTTACTAAATCGATCTATAGCTGCTTGTCGAAGATTCCCTCTGACTCTTCCATCAATTCGCTCATATAAATATCTATCAAATGAAACAACAGATTTAGGCAGACAGAAATAATGAAATGAAGACACATTCTAATCAAAGTAAAGTCAGTTTTCCTACAATATTACACTTACTACAATATTAAGAAGCAATATTTTCTCAACTAGTTTTTATGGTTTTACATTTTTTGGAGTTGGTGCTAAGGAGGAAATACAAAGTAATATAAAGATACAGTATCTCTGCATTCCTGATGTATAGGTAAAACACCATTATAATGAATATTATTCTCAGAAGTTGAAATAAAAAACAGTCCATAAAAACTACCTTGCTGTTATTATTATAAATGACTTTTTCATTTTTACAAGAAGCAAATACTTTCATAAAACTTTATATAAGAAACTTATCAATGCTTTTGTGTCTCAGTCATATAATTCTCTCAACTGATACTTTATTAACTATAAATTCATCAAGAGCAATCTAGAATGCTAGTTTTTTACAGTCATAACTGTCTATCAATTAACTTTTTAACTTCTTTTATCCTTCCCTGTTTAACATAAAACTCAGAAATTGCTAGACATCATTAAAAATAAATATATAAAAATTTAGGAACTAGAAGAATACACATGACATTTGTCGCAACTCTTCTGATTCAAGACACTTCTTTTCACATACAATTTACTACAATCTCAGCAGCAGCTCTTGTTCTTGTCTCTTGTAACTGAAATGTGACTGTGACTTTTAGTAATTTACTTTTAATATTAAAGAAATTTGGGTTTTTACTTGAAATTCATCACAATGGAAATTTACCTTTATAAAGATCTTTGTGTAAGGAGATTAAGAAAATGTAAGAATGGCTATTTTAAGGAATACTGCAGTTTAATATTTCTTAAAATTGATAATATACATTTTGGAATGAAACAAAGGAAATAGAATACTAAACAGTAAAAATAGAACTAGAAATAGAAATGAAAAATAAAAATGAACTACATAATCTCTGATAATATAAACTAGCATAGATCTTTACTTATCTATAAGGGTCAAAATTCACTGAACAAAAACCTGTAGCTGAATCTTCAGATTCCCCTTTATATTATTGTATTGACATCTGCTTGGACCACTAATGCTGTGATAAATATCCAATGATAAACATTCCGTCTATTTAAATACTGATTAGGCAATATTTAAGACAATCTTAGAGCAACACAACAAAATCACAAAACAAAACAAAATCCAAACTAAACAAATCAAAAAAGATTAAAAGCAGAACAAATTTTACACAGTGTGTGATAAGGGTCAAAATACAGTGAGTTCAGGTTTTAATTATAACAATGAAATAGATGTGAAAAGGATCTTGGATCTTGTTTTCAATTTTAAAGGTGGTTGTAAGTCCATTCAAAGTGTCATTTCTGCAAGGTTTACAAATCAAGTAAAATGTACTTTAATAAACCCATTCCTAGGTCATCAAATACCTATCAATTCAGAGTTTTCATAATTATTCTTCTTAGCTCTGCCTACTACTACAACACACATAGGTTAGGAAAACATCTGACATAATTCTAAACAATCTTAACTCAAAGATTTAAATGGATTCTTATCTAGATGAAGGTGCAAGTTGGTTTATAGTACAGTAGTTCTGCATAAACCTTAGCAACATACATACTTAGCATAATTCATAGTATAACTGAATAGATGAATTATATGGCCTACCTTTTATGTATGAGATAGTCCTCCAGGATGTCAAGGCAGCGTACCATCTGAGAGAAGATGAGTACTTTGTGACCACCTGCTTTCATTTTAGGAAGCAATTTATCAATAAGGACCAATTTACCAGCAGACTGGATCATTGCTTGGAGATGAAAATCAGAAGCAGCTGGATTATATGTATCTCTAAATTCTCCAAGTATTTTCTCCTCAGCACCTGTCAAAAAAATATAGGACAGCATGAAGACACAAATGCAGGCAACCTAAATTTTAAAATTAAAGAAAATCAGAGTTAGTGCTCTTCTGTGTTTTAGCAACACATTACAATTTTGTGATGGCAGTTACATTTGTGTTTGTAGCTAAATCCCCACCAACACCAAACTATAATTTCACTGAGGTTACAGACAATGTCTTAAACATCTTTTTATGTCCCCAGACATCTGGCATAATGTCTTATATAAATTTATGTTGGCAAGTAGTCAATGAATGCTATTAGGAAAAGAATTACTGAAAATGTGGTCCTAACCTAGGTGAGTTAATTTATATTTTTAAACAAACATTTATTATTTAAACATATACAGTGATCATCACTGAAGGGTGATCATATTAATCTGATGTGTCCCTGGGCATCCTCCTGGCTATCAAGACAAGGAAACAGGGAAAATTAAAAGGGAAGTCAAGTTACAGATCCTTGGTATATACTTTCTCTAGAGAGTCCGGATGAGCATTAAAGGCTTGCTGCCTTCCCTCAGCCTGTCTAGTCATAAAGAGTTGCAGGATTAAAATAAGTAACAAATGCTGGCATGCTGGCAAGGATGTGGAGAACTGGAAACCCTCCTACACTGTTGGTGGGAATGGAACTGGTACAACCATTGTGGAAGCAATATGGAGGTTCCTCAAAAAATTAAAAACAGTACCACCATTTTACCCAGTAAATTCACTCTCAAGGATTTCTCTGAAGAAAACAAGATCCCTGAATCGAAAGGACATATGCACCCCTGTTTATTGCTGCCCTATTTGTAACAGCGAAGATATGGAAGCAACCTAAGTATCCATCAATAGATGAATGGACAAAGAAGACGTGGTACATATACACAACTGAATATTATTCAGCCACTAAAAGAAAACAAATCCTACCATTTGCAACAACATGGATGGATCTAGAAGGTATTATGCTCAGTGAAATAAGGGTGGGGAAAGGCAAATACCAATGATTTCACTTATTTGTGGAGTATAACAACAAAGCAAAACAGAAGGAATAAAACAGCAGTAGACTCAGAATCCAAGGGACTAATAGTTACCAAGGGGGAGGGGTTACGGTGGGTGCTGGTGGAAGGGGTACAATAATTCACAATCACAATATAGGTTGGTCATGGGTATAGTAGTATAGCATGGAGAATACAGTTGATGATTCTGTAACATTTTACTATGTTGAGAGTGACCACGCTAGAGGGGGTGAGGATTTAATAATACGTGTAACTGTGAACTACTGTGTTGTATATTTGAAACCAACATAAGATTGTGTATCAATGATACTTTAATAAAAAAAAAAAGTTGCAGAATTGTAAGTTAGCTACTGGGCTAAGAAGTGACCTGGATAAAAGTATTATTTCCAGGATAACTGAAAAGACCCAAATACAGTATAGAGAGAACATTAGCTGAGAACCTGAGAAGATCTTAAAAAGTAACAACATCATAGCACAAAAACTGAGATACACTAACTGGAGTACCTGGACTGGAAAGAAATGAGGGGGAAAAAAAGATAAATCCAGAAGTCTGAAGATGGGCTTTGATGTCTTTGTCCATAAGGAGGAGTAAACTGGAGGAAGTATTCCAGTCCAAGTTAGACTGGGCACACTACTGCTCCTGTAACCTGCACACTAACATGGATACTGAACTGAAGTAGTTCACACTGGCTGATTCTGAAGCACATATAATCCCCCAGAACACCTGAATGGAGTTATAGCATCATTGTCTTTCCATGTAAGAGCTACTACAGCTGTAGTATTTTAAATTCACGAGCATTTGCTGAAAGAAGTATTTGTTTGCAATCCTTCTTAGCTACCTTTGATAAGATATGGATGATTACAGCACTTTCTGAGCTCCATCATAGTATTGACCAAGTTAGGGACATTAGTCTGCCCTGCTCCTTTGGATAAAAATGAAAAGTTCTTCTCCAAAATAGCTCGGTAGTATTTCTTCTGAATGTTAGTAAGTTCCACTTCAATGATGGTTTCTTCCTTTGGTGCCAACTTCTTTTCTACATCTTCTTTCAATCGTCTCAGCATCATTGGTTTCAGGATAGCCTGAAGATTCTGTACCTGCATAAAAAATGATGAAAAAAGATGTAACACATGTACATTCAATCACATATACATGCACATAATTACTATGATAAGGGATTTGATGTATTTATTTATGAAGACTAAAAGGATACCTGTTCCTCTGTTTTCAGATCCCCAAATTCTTGCATAAATGTTGACTCAGAAGGAAACCTTAAGGGTTCTAGAAAGTGAAGAAGACTGAATAATTCTTCAACTGTATTTTGGAGAGGTGTGCCAGTCAAAAGCACCTTGTGTTCCTACATGAAGCAAGAATAATTCATGTCAATACCACAGTACTAAAATGATATGAAAGCTGATATGTTATAAAATGTTCAATGTTTGAAAAGCATTTTTCTAACCATAATTTTTATCATCTTAAAATTCATCTCTACCCATCAATCTTAATTTACTTTCTCAATCACTTTTTGAAAAACTCTTTGTTATTCTGTAAAACTTTACTTTGCATGCTATTTTTACCTATTTAGGATTTTAAAAGAAAAGTTCTAAATAAGAAGTGTACTTTAGATGTCTTTAAACTAGATATTTTAAGAACATCAAGGATATTTGCTTCTTTCATACTCAACCATTCCTTATATGGTAATTTTGTACACAAAACGGGGCTCATTCTTTATAATTTAGCTGATCATCATCTGACTTTTCATACAAGGACAAATTCTCAAACCATTAAGGCTACCATCCAAAACAAAGTGAAGAGCTGATTGGAATATGTTCTAAACCAGAATTCCACTACAAATTAAATGTAATAGTAACAGAAGGAAATAATCTTAAAATATTTTTAATTATAGTACACAAATTGGTTACTATTTGACAATACCTTCAAATTCTTAAGCTAAATATTTGTATATGTATCTACATCTGCATATTTATGTATATGCTAGTAAATGGTCTAGAAATATATACACCCATCTCTAAATACTGGAGTAAGGAGTAGAACTGGGGATGGGCATGGATGGGGAGGAAACAAGAGAGAATGTTAATGTTTCACTCTATGTAGTTCTGTATATTTGTTATTTGTTCAAGTTTTCACACACTAATTATATAATCTTATATCAAAATGTTAAAAGAATACACATAAAAGACTGATTTTAACAAAGCAAACATACTAAAAAATATTTTAAAAATGGCTTAAAAAATCCAACTTATTAATTACAACCAACATATGCTGAGTGTATAGAACTGTGCAGGAACTTTATCTATCATAAATGATCTGAATATTATTAACTTTGGTGAAAGAACTTTTTATTAACTAGGCTTAAAACTTACGGTCTTACTTTGTTTCAACAGTGTATAGAGTTTGTTTTTTAATTCTATAAGGTCTTTTTGGAGGAAAGACTTAAACATTTTTAAGTCATATAAACAAATGAGTTTTTTTTCCTTACTAACTAAAGAAAAAATGAATCTCAATTATCACAGATAGAAACACACTAAAAAATCATTACTCTAAAATGTAAAAAGGAGTACGTTCTTAGCATTAGTTCTCTATCTGACCTTTTGTAGATAGAAAACCAAATTAAGTCATAATAGTAATAAAGGACTTACCAGAGTCATGAGTTTCAGACCCTCTAGGAGTTTACAATTTTTGTTTTTTAATCTGTGTGCTTCATCAATAATCACACATCGCCATTCAATTGCATTAAGCTCTCCACAGCCTCCAAGAATCATTTCAAAAGTGGTGATGATGGCTTGGAATCTGTAAGCTCCTCGTATGATACGACCCTATAAATTTATTATCAAATACAATTAAATGCTATAATATCTTGATCACAATTTTTAAGTCCTGCCAAACAGCATAAAAATATATCTAATGCATCAAATGTAAAAATACATTTTGCTATAAAACATTTTCCACCAAAACTCTTATATATGCACAGACACTTCCTTTAAATGAGTTTTAGCACTAAAACCATATTAGACTGCAGTATTTTCAAGAATGTTAAAAACTGTGCCAACAACATTTAATTTATAATTGTATCCAAATTAGTATTCCTTGATAAAATATTTAAAAAATTTTAATAGTTGTAATAACTTAGGTAAAGAAAGAATTGGCCATTGCAAAATCTGGCTAATGAAACTTCAGTATTAATGTTGATTACTTATATCCTTGAGTCCACATATGTAATGGCAAATAGGTAGTTAACATAAAAGGTAGTTAACATAAAAGTTTGTCATCCAAGTCATTTGTTCAGCAAATATTTATTGAGTGTCTTTGTCAGATCCTGTTCTAGTTAATGGGGATACAGCAGCCAACAAAATAGACAAAAATAATTATACAAGTAGAAACTATATTCCTGTAATTCAAATGCACGACATAGCCCTTAAGAAAAACAAAAACAAAAAAACTTCAAAAAAAAAAAAAGTAGTTGAGAGACGGATTCAAGATGGCGGCATGAGAGCGTATGTATCAATGATACCTTAAAAAAAAAAGTAAGTTAAAAAGTGATAAAGGGTATGGAATCAAAGAAACTGGGAAGTGGAACAGAAAGTATAGAGTCAGAGGTGACCACTGCAATTTTATGTAGAGTGCCTGGGGAGACCATTCTTGAGAAGTGACATTCAGCAAAGTCCTGAAGATGAGGGAGAAAGCCATGTTAATATTTAGAGATCTAAAGGAGAAAGCAGTCTTGGCAGAAGCAGCACGTGTGAAGGCCCTAATAATGCGAGGTATCTTTGGCAGTACTCAAATAATAGCAATAAAGCCACTGTTTGAAACCCAGTGAACATGGAGGGGATGAGACTGTAAAGGTGCTTGAAAACATGGTGAGGACTTTGGGTCTTTCTTTGAGCAAGGAGCTATTGGAGGGTTTTGAGGAAAGAGATATCAAAATTTAACATATATTTTAAAAGAGGCCCCTTTGACTACTGTAGTAAAAATAATCTGAAAGAGCTAAGGACAGATCATAGAGATTAGTTAAGAGGCTGTCACAGTAATCCAATTTAAGAGATCATTATTGGAAGTTATGAGAAGTGCTCAGTTCTGGATCTATTTTGAAGGCAGAGCCAACGGGACTTGCTAATGGAGAGGTGTAAAGTGAGACAGAGAGGATTCAAGTTTGACTCTAAAATTTTTAGCTCAAACAACTATAAGTGAGTAATGGAGAGGTGTGAAGTGAGACAGAGAGGATTCAAGTTTGACTCTAAAATTTTTAGCTCAAACAACTATAAGTTAGTATTGCTATTTACTACAATGAGAAAACTGAGGATTTTGGTTTTGGACATATGTTTGAGATATCTATTAGACAGCCAAGTTTAGTACTTAGCATTCAGATATGACTCTGGAATTTAGGAAAGAATTTAGAGCTCATGATTTAGATTTGGGAGTTTCCAGCAGTATAAATGGTACTGAAGTTACATGAATGAATGGAATCTCTGATGAACTAAGTAGGGATATAAAAGAGTCTGCAGGCTGAGCCCAGAGTCGCCCCCAAGTTTAGATACATGGAAGATGAGAAGAAACCAGTAAAGGGTGCTGCAGAAGGTTTAGATATATGGAAGATGAGAAGAAACCAGTAAAGGGTGCTTCAGAAGGAATAGGTAGTGATATAAGACTGGACAAAGTCCTAGAATCCAAGTGAAGAGAATGTTTAAATGGGAAACTATAAACAGTTAAAACTATAAACTATTGAGATTAGAAGGAATGAAGGATTAAGAAAGATCATGTGTTCTGATTCAGATTTTAATTACTATTTTAACTAGATTGATTTTAGATTAATTTCATGTAGATTGCATACATTGGCCATTAAGCAGAACAACAGATCCGGCAGAATATTATTAAGATATGAAGCATAAGTCTTTGGTACTTGTGCAGCTCTAAAAACCTGGGATATGACACATTCAGTCAAACTGATATCAAAGTGTTTAAGAACAAAGGCTTTTGAGTCTAATTGACCTCAGTTTATTAATCCTAGTTTTGCAGAAAACTGTACAACTTCTTTATACCCCAGTTTCTACATTTGTAAATGAGGATAACATTACCTATTTACAAATATGGCATTACAAAGATTAAGTGACATACTATATCTAAAATGTTTAGCATAATACTGGCACATGGTAAATACACAATAAATGTTGTGGTTATCAGTGTTACTACCTTGTACTTTTTTTCAGGGCAATTCAGAAAATTTTAGCATAATTTTAACTACTATGATTTCAACCTATTTAGTAACTTGTAAGAAGTATAAGGCAAATATTTAATCACCTTATATTAAAATATACTTGAGTTAACTCTGAAAGTTATTTCTATTTTTAAAATACAGATGTTTATCTCATTTTTAGATGTTGCATCTTTATCTTTTCAAAATTTTAAACCCTTCAGACAATATTTTCTAGAATGTGTAACATTTATCATATAATTAAAGTATTTAATATATGCCATTCAGTTTACAGAACAGCAATAATCTTTCAGGATTTTGTCTATCAAATTTATATCAAACTCATGAAATATACACTAAAATTGTAACCATGTTAAACATCTCTTAAACCCCAATTTTAAACTGTATCTTCTGTAAAAAAGAGATTGAACTAAGTCACTTTCATGATACAAATGTATGATTAAGAATAATAAAACACTATGGAAAGAAATAAAACTATAACCTGAGATGTCATAGGCTTGAAAGGTGCATAGGTGACAGTTTTCAATGTGAGGAATAATGAAAGGATTACATAAATACTTGATTTCAAAGTAAATGTTTTAACCATAAGAGGTTAAAGGAACAAAATTAATTCATCCATTCTGTGTCTCAAATAGGCAGAAAATTAATTATAATTGGGAGTCAAAAGTAGAAGACTATGCACATTACCTTACTTCAACCTATATTACATCTCAGGGACAGGAACTGGTCATATGTTATAAGCATCCTTATAAAACAGAAGAACTAATGAAGAAAAATGAAATATTAAAATGCCATTGAGGTAGAGTGCCAGGTGATAAACCTTACCAGTTAAAAGTACAATTTTGTGTGAGTTGTCTTTTTAATGATTTTTCTTTTTATCTAAAAAATCATATTATCACTTAAAAATGCAATTTGGCACCTCATGTTTTCTAGCCTTAACTTTCCACTAGAAAATTTTTTATTATGATGTCATCTCTTAGTTTATTATCTTTGTATTTAGAAGAAATATAGGAAATCCTTCCTAAAGAGTTAGCAGCCAAAGTAAAATGGAAAATGTGCCTCTAGGATATAGGGGAGAAGAAAACCAACACATCACCAGAGTACTGGAGTAACTAATCCAAAAGAGAAAAAGAGAGGTATGCTTATATATTATACCAAACAAACCAAAGCTAAAATCAAAATCCATTGAACATGATGGAGAACATATGGTTTCACCTCAACAGGCATTTAAGCCCATTGTGTTCACTCAAGATTTAAGTTTCTTAAATGGAGGAAAAAAATTTGAAGGATGATCAAAGAAACATCTTTATTATTATTGTAAAAATTATTAGAAGTAAAACAATTACTCTAGTTGAAAAATTAAGGACATAATAAAATTTGTACGTATCAGCACATATCTTTATAGTGAATTAGAACAGAAACCTGACTACTTTTTTCTTTGTTCTCTTCAGTTACTAAAATTTATTGTAAAATAAATATTATGAAGAAAGAGGCTGAATAAGATCTAAGTAGGCAATTAGAATCTATCCTAAATTTGAAAGTAACTGATATGTGATGTTAAGCTTTTTCAAACCCAACCTTTCAAACAACAAACCAAACCTTCAGTAACACACCTGTGAGTCCCTGAAGTACATCTCATATTGCTGTATCATCTGTCTGCTTATCAGGCTCCCATGATAAACCACAACATTAATATCAGTCCACGTACGAAATTCTCTCTCCCAGTTTGCAATAGTAGAGAGTGGAGCAATAATCAGAAAAGGTCCTCTTATACCAGTCAGAAGGATTTCGTAGAGGAATGTAATTGATTGAATGGTTTTGCCAAGACCCATTTCATCTGCTAAAATGCAGTTTCGTCTGAAATAAACAAATATATTATCCATGTATACATTGGGTTTGTCTGTATACTACATATTTTAGAGATGAATATATAAAAAATTTCAAAGATCATGTTAAAATATATGCATTTATAAAAAATGTACGATTTGCTGAAGTGGAGACTAGGCATATAATTATACATATAAAATTCTAACTTTATTATAATCCTGCAAAGAGAAAACTACAGATTTTTGTAACTTCAAAATAAAGATACCACCCATTAGATGTTTGATTTTTTAAAAGAGTGAAATGGCAAGAGCAAGGCAAACTAAATATATTACTTAGTCAGGAAGCATTTATTAAATCCCTTCTACCTCAGGGACAGTATGAGAATATGGGATACAAAAGAAATAGAACATGTTCTCTGCCTTCCAGGGGCTTGTATCTATTAGAGAAGCAGATATGCAAATAAATAAATAAGTAGTCATGCAATGTGCTATCAAAGAAGCAGAAATAAAGTAATGGTTTTCAACTCTGGCTGCGCATCAGAAGAGCCTACAAAGCTTGAAAAAAACACAGATATCTAGGATCCTCCCCTACACATTCTGATTTAATGTGTATGGAGTAGGATACGAACAGGTATAATTTTTTTAAGAGCTTCACAGATGATTATCATATATGGACAATTTAGAATCATAAGTATTAAGTTTATTTGAGTACAAGTTCAACTCCAGTGGAAAAAAAAAAGAGTGAGAAGACATGACCTCTTCAGAGACTATGCCAGTAAGGAGTAGATTTTGACAGATGGCACAAGCAAGGGAGAACTGTAAAGTATAAAATAAACTAGAAGACCACAAGTTGTTTGAGATGGTTTAGAGGGAAGGGTAAAAGGAGAGGGAATATTACTAAGATAAGCAGGGGTCTTAAAGAAAGAAGGTAAAGGCGTCATTCTGTTATGTAATGGGATTCACTGAAAAGTTCTAAAGAAACCTGATTGGATTAGGTTTTATTTTGAAGTTTATTCTGGTGCTATTATGAGTATCAGGTGAGGTGACTAAATGTTGAGACACTAATTGGAAAGTACTGCAATAATGCATGAAGTAATGGGTGGATGCTTGGATTAAGGGAAGAGGTACTAAGGAGAGAACTGACTCCAAAGTTAATTATGTTAAAATGATTTGGACCTAGTCACAACCAGGTACACTGGGTATCGGATGACAGCCAGATTTCAGTTTGGGTGAATACATGAACTGTTATTCTTAACTGAAATGCAAAATATGGAGGAAGAACAAGTTTGGTATGGACAAAATAGGAAATCATAAGGTTAATTTTAAATCTTTTGTTTTTAAAAAACTGTTGAGGTAAGACATTACAGTAGCAAGAGACAAATATGGGTTTGGAGGTCACGGCCTTAGAGAAGTATAAGATCATTAGAATGTTACTGATAAGTAAAAGCACAGAGGGTGCAGAATATGGTTTCAGGAGAACAAACATGGAATATTAAGAGAATGCAAAAGATGATCTTTGGGCAAGAAGAAACACCATCGAAAAGGTAGGCAAAGGAAGAAAACCAGCAAAGACCACTGAAAGAAAAGTCCCCAAGGTACTGACAGCTAGGAGACAGTCATATTGTGAAAGCTCTTGGGGGTGAGAATAGGGGAAAAGGTTAAAGACAGAAGAAAAAGTATCAACTACTTATCCAATGCAGCAAAGGCAGTAAATTAGGGCTGAAAAATATCCTGTGGACTGGAAAATTAAGAATTTCAGAGATGATACAAAATCAAAATCCAAACAACAGTTTTAAAGAGGTCTGGAGATGAGGAAATGGGAAGAGCTTGTATAGGCTACTCTTCCTAGAAATTTGCCTAGGAAGTTACAAAGAGGGCTCAAGGTAGCTAGAAGGAAAAACAGAGCCAAAAGAGGGTTTATGCTTTTCTTTTTATAGCTGGGTTAAACCCAAATCTGTTCACAGACTGAAGGGGTGGTACTAGTCTTTGGAGATGGATTAAAAATATAAGAGAGAAGGATAACTGATTGAAGCGAGGTTCTGAGAAGTCTAGATGAGATGCCTGCCAAGACTGAGGTGGGAGCATTAGTCTTGGTCCTGGGGAGGGACCTTTAACTTCTGGTACATGAAGAGAGAGGTAAGAATGTAATTAAGGATGGAGATATATTTGTAGGTGTTGTGAGGGCAAGTCCTAGGCTTCTCTATGAAGCATCACATACAGAGAGTGAGGGGGTAGGGTTGTAATAAAGGGCTTAAGGAAAGAGCTGAAGGTTTCAAACAATGTAGGAAATGGGAAGGAGTATTTTTGCGGGAAGATAAGAAATATTTTGTTAACCATTTTATCTGGAAGGTTCATTAGGGAAAAAGGATGATTAATATTTAGAAAATATAAGGTAGGGCAAAGAGCACTGTGGGGAATAAGAGGTCCCCCTAATTCTGTATGACATATCTCATGACCCACCACCTAAGTGTAACAACTTGGAAGAATCACATGAGAAGTAAAAACAAAAAAATTATTTTGAATAAGTGTCATCAAATTTTGCTATTATTACTACTAATGGTGCCTTTATTTGCTCTTTTGTATACATTACTATACTTTCTCAATCATGGTACCATTTTTTACTTCTTTTGCAATTATCTTTTCATCTCAATAAAAAAAGCGAGATAATATCCCATAAAGCATTTTGAACAACTTGGAAAATAAATAATTAATGAAAGGAGTAATTCATTACCAGTTTCCTATATTTTGTATTCTGTTCCTTATCAAATGCTGATAATCTGCTCCTTTGAAGACAGATTAAATAATAGACCTAAGATACAACTGTTTACACCTTATTAACTGGATTCAATTATTGGGAGACAGTAGAATAAGTTGATAAGTTGAAAAGCATTTTGTAGCAGAGCAGATGTTTTATGATGTTAAGAAATATATTTCAAATTATTATTCAACATATCAACTTTTGTCTGTTCTGGCTGGCATACATTTAAAAGAAGCAACTATTCAAAAATGCTAAATTTTAATTTACTCATCTTCCTGGGGTAACCTCACTTTTAATAATGAACTCCATGACAACAATAACACAGCAACATCAGTATCCATTTTACTTAACATATATGAAAAAAATTACCACACTGAATTTTTTTCTGTTCAGATACACTACATACCTATTGTACCAATTGAACAAGAGCCAGTTGAGTCCTTCCAGCTGATATTCCCTGAGTTGATTGTCATTTTTATAATCCCTGGATTGATCTATTTTTTTCCAAATATTAGAGGGAGGACGGTCCTTTGTGGATAAACAAAGAATGATATATTTTATATCTTTTAATCTTCCATACAATAATCATGGAAGCCTAAAAATTATATGGCATTATGATTAAACTTTACAAACAGTGAACGATGAAATTAGTTCTGTAAACACTCTTCCAGAAAACTGAAGAGGAAGGCATATGTCCCAACTCATTCTTCAACATTACATCAAAATCAAAGACAGTACAAGAAAAAGGAAACTAAAGGTAAACACCAATATCTCTCTTGAAGAGAGAAGCAAAAATTCAGTAACAAAACTTTCAGAAATGGAATCTCACAAGTCACGACCAAGTGAGATTTTCCCCAGGAATGGAAGGTGACTTAAATTTGAAAATTAATCAATGTTTTTTTTATTGATCAACAGACAAAAAAAAAAAAGATAATCTCAATAAATGCAGAAAAGGGATTTGGAAAATCCAATATCCAATCCTAAAAAAAATTAAATTTTGAATAGAGGGGAACTTCTTCAACCTGATAAGGAGCATTTATGAAAAAGCCAAAGATAATGTCATCTTTATGATTAAAGACTGACAGCTTTCTCCTTAAAATCAGGTAAAGGCAAAGATGTCTACATTAAGATTAGAAAGGAAGAATTAAAATTATCTTATTCATAGAAGACATCATTTGTCTCAGTAGAAAATTCTGTAGAATCTATAAAACAAACTAATAGACATGATATTAGCAAGGTCACATAAGATCAACATACAGAAAAATTATTTAATATTATAGAAATGATCACAGGTAATTTTTTTAAAATACCATCTTAGAGCATCCAAAATACAAAATATTTAAGAAAATACTAACAAAGTCTATGTAAGATAGGTGTACTTAAAGCTACAAAACACTGCTGAGAAAAATTAAAGACCTAAATAAATGGAAAATACATTGTGTTTATGGACCAAAAGACTCAACATTGCTCAGCTATTAATAATTCCCATATTGAACAGATTCAACATAACCCAACCAAAACCCATGTGTTTTTATAGAAATGATATGCTGATTATAAAACCATATGGAAATGCAAAGGACAAAAAATATCCCAGACAACTTTAAAAAGGAGAATAAAATTGGAGATTTTGTATTTGTAGAAGTTACAGAATCAAATTATGCAGAATTGATGTAAAGATAACAAACAGATCAGTGGAACTGAGTAGAGGATTCAAAAGTATATACCTATGTGTATTAAGTCAACTTATTTATGATGAAGATGGAAAGCTTTCAGTGAAGATAGTTTTGTTTTCAAAAAATGGTGCTAGAAATGGACATTCATGAGCAAAAAAGGAAACTTTGATTCACTGTATTATATACAAAATATTAAAACTCTGATATATTGTACTATATACAAAAATCAACTCAAAATGGGCCATATGGAATCTAAAAAACAGAATAAATGAGCAAACTAAACAGAAATAGACTCATAAATACAGGAGGTTCCCAGAGGGGAGGAGGGGTGGGAGGACAGGCTAAAGAGATGAAGGGGATAAAGTGGTATAACTTCCAGTTATAGAATAAGTCACTGGGATGAAAAGTACAGCATAGGGAATATAGTCAATAACATTGTAATAACTTTATATGGTGACAGATGGTAACTACACTTATTGTGCTGACCATTTTGTGATACATATAAATGCTGAATCACTGCATTATACACCTGAAATATTGTATGTTAACTATACTTCACTTAAAAAAAAATGGATCACAGACCTAAATGCTACCTAAAACTACAAACTACAGGAAAAAAATCTTTGTGAACTTGAGTTATGCAAAGATTTGTTAGATACAACAGCAAAAGTATAATCCATAAAAAAAGATATATAAACTGATCAATGGATAAGGCATTTTCTACCATCTTAAAATTAAGAACATTCTACCATTGGCAGAACAAAAAGGCAACCTACAGTATGGGAGAATATATTTGTAAATGATTTATATGACAAGGTGTTAACATACAAAATATATAAAGAACTCATACATCTCAACACCAGAAAAAAAACCCAATTAAAAAACGGGCAGACAACCTAACAAACATTTCTCCGAAGAAGAAACACAGATGGCCAACAGACACATGAGAAGATGCTTCACGGCGCTAATCATCAGGGAAATGCAAATCAAAACCACAATGAGGTATCACTTCACACCAGTTAGAATGGCCACTATCGAAAAGACAATAGTAAGTGTTGATGAGGATGTGGAGAAAAGGGAACCCCTCTGCACTGTTGGTGGGAATGTAAATTGGTGCCACTGCTGTGGAAAGGTGTATGGAGGTTCATCAAAAAACTAAAAACAGAAATACCATTTGATCCAGTAATGCCACTTCTAGGAATTTACCTGAAGAAAACAAAATCCCTGATTAGAAAAGATATATGCACTCCTACATTTATGGCCATATTATTTACAATAGCCAAGTTATGAAAGCAACCTAAGTGTCCATTAATAGACGAATGGATAAAGAAGATGTGGTACATATATACAATGTATTATTATTCAGTCATTAAAAAAAAAATTCTGCCGTTTGCAACAACATGGATGGACCTAGAGGGTGTTATGCTAAGTGAATAAGCCAGGTGGATAAAGACAAGTACCATATAATTTCACTTATTTGTGGAATATAAAAACAGAACAAAACAAAAAGCAAAATGAACAAAATAGCAGCAGGCTCACAGACACTGAGAGGTAGCTGGTAGTTACCCTGAGGGAGAGATTGGGGCAGGGAGGGTATAAAAGGGCACAAATATTCTCAATCATATTATAACTTGGTCACACAGATGGTAGTACAGCATGGAGAATACAGTCAATGATGCTGTAACATCTTCCTATGTTGACACAGTAACTGCACTAGTGGGGGCCAGGATTTAATAATATGGGTAACTGTTGAACCACTGTGTTATAAAGATGAAACCAATATAACGTTGTATATCAATGATACTTCAATAAAAAAAATTATGAACTTCCGCTCTTTGAAAGACTTGTGCTCTATTGTAAGATACTGAAATGGTCAGCCACAGACTTCAAGAAAACATTTGTAAACCATACCTGATAAAGGACTGTATCTAGAATATAAAAATAATTCTTAAGCTCAGTATTAAGAAAACAACAAAAATTAGTAAGAAAACAAGCCAATGAAAAATAGGCAAAATATCTGAATAGGAATTTTATTAAAAGAAATATACTAACAGCATTTAGGCACATGAAAAGATGCTCACTGTCGTAAGGAAATGCAAATTTAAACCACAATGTCATACCATTATACACCTATCATAATTGCTAAGATTAAAAAGACTGACCATAAAAAGCACATGAAGTAACTATAATTCTTAGATGTAATATATGACCAACTGGAAAAAAGCTTGGCAGTTTCTTAAAAAGTTAAACATATACCTACCATACGACCCAGACATTTTACTCAGATATTTACTCAAGAGAAATGAAAGCACATGTCTAAACAAAGACTTACATACTAACATTCACAGCAGTTTTATTTCTAATAGCCAATAATAATACATATCCATCAACAGGTGAACAGATAAACAAATCTACATTACAACAGAATACTACTCAGTAATAAAAACAAACAAGTATTGAGACACGCATGACATGAATCACAAAATAATTATGCTGCATGAAACAATAGAAAAAAGAGCATATACTAGCTATATAAAACTATAAAAAATTAAAAATAATGGTTAGTGACATAAATATTGGTGGTTGCCCAGGGGTGAAAGAAGCAAGATTTGGGAGAGAGTGACTACAAAGAGGCACAAGATAACTTGGGAGTGATGGATATTATCTTGATTATGATGATTGTTTCATTTGTCAAAGTCTACCAAACTGCACACTTTAAATATATATAGTTATTATATGTAACTTCAAACTCAATGAACCTAACTTTAAAAAAAGATGATGTGACTGGGTCTGGTTCAAGATGGTGACACAGGAGGATCCTGAACTCCTCTTCTTCCATAGACACACTGCTTCTACAGCTACATATGGAACAATTTCCTCTGAAAGCAACCCAAAACCTAGTTAAGCAACTCCTATACATCAGGTGAGTAAGAAAAAACCTACAATGAACGAGTTGAGAGGCGGAAACACAATCTTGCCATAAACCTAACCCCCAGTGCAGCAATCTATACTCTGAAGGGAACTCACAACTCTGAGCCTCTCCCTGAGGAACAAAGGGTTTAAACCCTACATCTGGCACCCTACCTTTTAAGACCTGCACCTGAGAGATGAGCCCCCAAAATATCTAGCTTTGAAAGTCAACAGGGTTGTGTCTGTAAGACCCCACAGGCTTTATCAAACTGAGAAACAGTCCTTGAAGAGCTCATGTGGACTGACCTGAGTGCACCCCAGGGACTAGTGCAGAGGCAGATGACTAAAAAGGATGATGTATACCAGATTTTATTTCACATATTTTAAATCTGCCATACGTCTCTATACTACTTTTGACATTCATGGTATGAAGTGTTTCTTTCAAAAGAAATCTAGAGGCCTAACACTGTGAAAAAAAAAATTACAGTTACATTTATTCAAATACATTTTTTCTTCTTCAGTAATAAAAAAGCTCTATTATGAATTTATTCTGCATAGCTAAGACATAAACTTTGTGAAGACTGCTGCATAGGTCGAGAAATAAAATTACTCTAGCTCCAAATCTGTAGGGCCTAGGTCTCAGTGGTCTCAGTAGGATAAATGTATTTCTGAGAAACAAACAAAAGATTTCCTATTGTTCTCTACTTTTAAGTAATATTTATACTGCTACTAATCAATGAAATTATACTTCCACAAATTATTAGGATGATCAGGGTCAGTGTATGGTAACTATGAATGGAAAATAAAATAAGCTATCAGTATACTGAAAACATAACTGGTTATTAAAGCTATAATATAATTAACCAAAATATTTCTTAACTGGTAGCAAATGAACATTAAAATACTTAACATGTAACATTTCTTAAATTATTGCTTAAAATAACTCCCACATTAAATCATATTGTCCATAATTTTCTTTTCAGCAATCCAATCACTATTAGTATTTCATTAGTTTGGGTCAGAAAGAAATTTCATTTTCAGAATCTCTAAAAATACTTTATGTGTTTTTGATTTTATTTTATGTATTTTATTTTATATTTTATTCATTTTATATTTTATTTATTTATTTCATTTTATTTTATTTTATATTGTTGTCAACTCAATTTTACATTAACTAAGAGGATTAGTTCTATTGGCTGATCTCTCTTTACCAAGGACTACACTTACCTAAGGCAATGGTTTTTCTGACACACATCAAAACTGCTTCTTCAGAAACATATGCCTATGGTCTGCTCTCAGATATTTTGGTTCTGTAGTCAGAAAATAGAAACCAGGCATCTTTTTTTTTTTTGTATCATTAATCTACAATTACCTGGGGAACATTATGTTTACTAGACTAATTTTTTTAACGTTCCAAATAGTGATCTGAATCTCTGACAGTCACTGGTCTAAAAGACAGCTTGATGAGGCTAAAGATGAGGTTACTGTTGAGGCAGTCCCCACCCCAGAAAGAACATCTTCCCCTTTCATAATCTGTTGAACCACCCCTCCCTTAACTAGTTAACCCTTTTGTTTCTTGGTACACTGAAAGACACTGAGAAGTCAAAAGGAATGGAGGTGAGCCGCAGCTCTCTTGGTAATAGAATATGGGTCTTACCAGGAGTTAAATTAAAAAGACCAGAAAAAGTTTACTGTGAAAACAATACAATTTCTTTCGTGGAACTAGTTAATTTCCTTTTCTTATATAGCATCTCCATATTTTTCACGACAGCCTTCCTTACTCTGGTGCTAATCTAAATAAAAGTAATGTTTCTGTCTTTTCATGTATAAACTCCCTCTTCACAGAAGTAAGAAATTTCTATGACCAAATTGTATCTGAAAGAGGACAGAAATTTTTAATTCACATCTCCTTGATGTGAATTTCCTCTGGCTGGCTCTCAAAACTGGATTTACATGACAACAATACTGTTTTAAAGAAATGAAAGTAAAATATTATATAATTATCAGCAATATCACAATTTGTGATTGCCTTCTAGAAGTCCAGTTTCTGTTCTAGAAAAATCAATATCCTACTTGAAGATTTTTTTTTTTTGAGCAGGGAAGAGATACGCATGTAGTCAATAAGGAATCAGTGTGCTTAATTTATGTAGGCCTTTAATGATATTCCATATAAAACATTCTTTTAGAAATAAAGTAGATGGACAATGGAATACTATTCAGCCATGAGAAAGAAACAAATCCTACCATTTGCAAACATGGATGGAGCTAGAGGGTATTATGCTCAGTGAAAGGAGCCAGGCAGAGAAAGACAAGTACTAAATGATTTCCCTCATTTGTGAAATATTGACAATAAAGCAAAACTGAACGAACAAAATAGCAGCAGACTCGGACTCCAAGAAGGGACTAGCAGTTATCAAAGGAGAGGGATGAGAAAGGGAGAAAGGGATTGTGGGATATCATGATTAGTACATATGGTGTGTGTGGGGTCATGGGGAAGACAGTGTAGCACAGAGAAGACAAGTAGGTACTCTGTGGCATCTTACTACACTGATGGACAGTAACTACAATGGGGTATGGTGGGGGGACTTGATAATAAGGGTGAATGTAGTAACTACATTGTTTTTCCTGTGCAACCTTCGTAAGAGTGTAGTATCAATGATACCTTAATAAAAAATAAAAAGTAAAAAAAAATAAAGTAGATGGGACTTGATAATAAGGGTGAACGTAGTAACTACAATGTTGCTCATGTGAAACCTTCAGAAGATTGCATACCAATGACACCTTAATTTAAAAAATAATAAAGTAGATGAACTATTTAGTTATGGAGAAATAACAAGGTTACAGAAAAGAAGGAAAAGGTGGGTGTAGTAAGGATTTTTCTTTGCTAGAGAATTAATAACTACTTTTTGGAGCTGGAACTGATATACTGATATTTTATAAATGACCTGAGAGAAAAAGTAGTGGGAAACTTTTAAATGCAGAGATGAGGTTTAAGGATCACAACTTTTCTGGAGGGATATTTGGAAGGAAATACCTACAGATGCTGACCAAGCAATTACAATTCTGATTTGTCTTACAGAAACTTGTACAAGTGCTCAATACTCAATGTAGCATTGCTTATTATAGGAAAAACTGTAATACTAATAAAGGAATAAATTAACATACATGACACTATGTAGCAATTTGAAAAATACAGTATTAATTACATACCAAAGACTGAAATTAAAAATTCAAAGGTTACATTAACACTGATGAATAAAGAAGCGCTAAGATTTTATTTAGTTGTTTGAGCTGTGTTCTTACCAAATGTCTCAGGTCAGGTCTTGAAGCTTGCAATTGTTCAAACTCTTCTATTTTTGCAAGATCAACATCTTCTTTTAGTTCCCAAGTACTATCTTCATATGGTAATGAACACCACTTTACTAAGTAGTAAATAACAGGCTGCAAAAAATTTTTTCTTTTTATCATTTTGATAAAGAATAGTCAGAAATAGTTTAAATATACTAACCTACACCAATAAAAACTAATGAAATATTTTTTAGTGTTTTTAGGTCATTAACTTTAAAAGAGTAATAATAAGTTTTAATATTTAGGAAGTTTAAGGTTTTCCTTACTTAAATATTTTTTTTTTATTATTACCTCGCCAGTATCTTTATCCTCACAAAAAGAGACTTCTAATACTCTGTCTACTTCAACGTAGTCTGGGTTAAATGGTTCCTCTTCCATCTAAAATAAAAAAGGAACTTAATTGGTGTCTGACGGAGAAGTGGAAAGTGAAATAAAGACAAATTTACTGGCTATTTTCCTATAGAAAAAAACGTTGATTTGAATTAAATTTCCAGTAAGTGGAACACTTCCATTTTAATTTCCAAAACATTATCTTGGGTATTCTGTCTATACTATGAATCACGATGTGATATATAATAAACCAACCAATAGCACTAAAAAATTAGTAACAAGTAAGTTACTCTAGAAGATATGTTCTTTAAAAAGAACATAAAGACAGCCTTTGCACCTTTGTTTTGCTACTTCTCACAAGTCCAAGAGTGAAAGCCCAACCCCCCAACCTGTAGATCCACCTCCGATTTGGATCAAACACTTTTTATCCGATGATTCCTCTGCTCAAGACCCATCTACCTAAATGCGAACTCTGTGAGTTACCTCAAACTCAAATACATTCATTTCCTCTTCAACCTCTACTTGTTCCTGTAGTTTCTTAACTGGGTTCATGGTAATAGAGCACCCCCTCCATGCCCTATTCCCAGTTCACAAGCCAGAAATGGAGAAGCCACCTTAGATTCCTTTTTTTTTTTACCTCCCACATTTAGTAAGTAATGAATTTACTCTACTTTCAACTATCTATCAAACTGGCTCCCCCTTCCTCATTCTTACTGCCTCATCACCTCTTACTTGAACTTTTATAAATAACCTCCTAACTATCCACAACTACTCTCTTGCCTTCTTTTAATCCATTTTCACATTATACCGTGAATGATCTTTCTCAAATATAGATCTTACGTATTGCTCCTTTGCTTCAAATCCCTCACTGACTCTCCCCTATTGGGGAATCAGGTCCACATCAATTTTTTTTGGAATAAACAGGATCCTACCTTTCCATCCAGTCTCATCTTCTATTGCTCAACACAGTGGTACCTGATTTCAAGCTCATGAACAACAAAAACACACTTTTTTCTAAGTTCATGTTCTAACACACCTCCATGTTTTCATATTCATTTTCTCTCTTTTAAATCAACTACTGTTCCTTCTCTTGTGTGCTTGGCCAAGTCCTAATTCCTGAAAGCCTTACTATCAAAAGCCTTTCTCATATGTCTTTGCAGCCTCTCCTCTACTTAACCTGTAAATAGTGTAATACTCCATGGTTCTGCCTTTAGCTCTCTTCACTATCTTAAACCTTTCCTGAATGATGACATCAGCTGCTGTTTTTTAAAAAATCCCCTACTGTGTATGTTTTTATATAGGACACACTTGGTAACAACTAGCACTGCCCCACATCAGAATGGCACAAGGTACTTTAAGAAAATCTGCATAGCCAAATAGACTATTTATACCTGAGTCAAATGAGAATAATTAGTATTCATGAAAAGTTAAAAGTTTATTAGTTAAGTACTTCTAAAACCTTTGGTTTATTAGAGATTTCTCTATCAGCATGAGGAGGTGAAAAATTCTTGAGGGATCTACCAGCATCCATAAACTGAGAGGTCATTAGAGTCATCAAGTTTTTAAAGTAGTTTTTATAATTATAAGGAAGTACCAAGGAAATAACAGTAACTTCATGGTGGAAAAATATGCCAGATACCACCATGATCTAGTGACTAATATAGGCACCACCAGTAATGGGGCAAATAGGTATGTATCATGTAACTCCTGGTATTATTCACTGGAAGGGATATAGCATCATTTCTGTAGTGTTCTTAAAAAAAAAATGCAGGACCTGAATCCTGAGGAAACACAAGACAAGCCCAAATTTAGGGATGTGCTACAATATAAACCACTTAAACTCTTAAAAAATTTCCAGACTGATTAAAGGAGTCATGTCAACTAAATGAAACACTTGATACTATCAGATTCTGAACCAGAATAAATGCACACACATATTTTTTTTTTTGCTATAAAATTACTAGTGGAACAATTAGTGAAATAAAAGATCTACAGATGTGATAATATTACTATATCAATGTTAATTATACTACTATTATATAAGAGAATGTTTTCAGAAATTAAATACTGAAGAATTTGCAACTTACTTTCAAGTATTTTAGAAAAAAATTAATATGCATGGGGGAGAGGCATACGGAAAGGGAAAGAGAAGGAGACAGAGGCAGATAGAAATGCAGGGAGAGGGAGAGCAAGTGAGCTTGCCAGGGGCAGTTAGGAAGAGGGAGAAGGAGAATGAAATGCAAATGATAAGGCAAACATGGTAAAATGTGAACATTTAGGGGATCTAGTTAAAATATATGTGGGACTTGTGCAACTTTCTTGTTCAAAACAGAAAGTGTGAAAAATTTTCAAATTGGAAAAATTAAAAAAAAATTAGACGAATCTCAAAGGGCTCTAGAAGAAGTCTATCCAAAGAAAAAAAATTTAGAGCAGCAAAGAAAGTCAGACTAATTACTGAGGCCTAGAAAGGTTAATGAATTATTTCAATGTTTTGTTCACACATACACAAAGCTGGTATAGAAAATATGCAATGTATTTCATGTACTGAAAAATCTTATTTCCATTTATTAGCTACATTACCATTTCCATTACTTGAATAACTGCTGATAAAATTCTATGAGATATTAACATATTCACATTAAATTCTAAGTATTGAAATACCTGCTAATTAAAAAATACAAGAGTTATCTACCACTCTGAATTATCAGTGTTCCTGTTTAAGTGAGGTTCCAAGCTAAATCGAGGGAAAGAATATTTATATGTAGACAGCATTTGTATTCAAATACCAAAGTTGGAAGCCTAAGAATTAGAAAGAAAAATACTTAAATTTCTGATGAATAATGCTACATGTGTTCAGGGCTCAACACATAGTAGTCTCATTTATTTTTTTCTTACGTCTGCAAAAAAATGTGCTCTTTGTGCTTGTCTCAATTTGAATCGTTTGATTTTCTGCTGGATCCTTTTATCTTTCAAAAGCTGCTGTTCTGTGGCCCACTCACAGTGAAGATAGGAGCTAAAATTTTTACAGAAGCAATATATTAGAATGATATAGAAAATCACGTTTTCTTAAAATATTTATTTTTAATCATAGCATCCTATACAAAATATTTTCCTTAACTTTACATATAGGTAGTTCGTCATTTCATTCAATATCGATATACTCAAAATAAAGCCATTGTGATCAGTATATCCTAAGACTGTAGTCTGCAATATACCATACCAAAACTGAATAGTAAACTGAATCATAATGGTGATAAGATGTGATTTGTTTTTTATTTCTTCTATGTAATAGTTTTGTCATGATCAGCAAGCTAATTTGTTTTGAAACCAATGTAATTTTAAACTCTTTCACAGAAGTATAGGAAAAAATGAAGATTTTTAAATTCATTACACAAATATAGTGAATAACATCTATAATCTGTAAAAGCATATAAGATTTCTGCATTTTTAAGTTAATTAACATTTTCTGGAAAAAATTCAATTTTAATATGAAAGGGTTTCAGTCTTTTAATGATTTCTAAGTTCATATAATAATAAAACATTTAAAAATAGACAAAATAAAAATAAGTTATTTAATATACTTAAGTATATTAACTTACTTTTAAAACATTATTTTTCTACCTCAAATACTTACTAATTCTTATATTTTACAAAAAATTCTTCCTTGTCAATCATTACTCCAGGTGATATCTAAGAAAATAAAATCAATAATTATACTTCAATAATCAGGCCATGGGATTGAGGTGTAAAACATAATGTACTACTACTTACTTCTTTTTTTACAATTCTAGAAGATAATATTTTGTCCACAATTGCAGCATCTTCTTCACTTGGATTCTCCTATGGGGGAGAGGATATAAAATATGATGGCACATTCTGAAAATTCCTTCAGTTGCCCCTTTGTATGTTTATAAATACACTAAAATTCAACACACATTTATGTAGAACATGTGCCAGGTACCATGTTAAATGCTGGGAATACAAAATCGGAAAAGTAAATTATTATTGTTATTCTCCTAGTCATCATCTGCATCACCATCATAGTAAACATATATGTGCTTTTCAATGTGCTAGGCATTATTCTAAGCACTTTACATATATATTAACGAATTTAATTCTTGCAACAACACTTTGAGGTAGGTATTATTATCATTTCCATTTTACAGATTAGGAAGTTCAGGAATGGAGAACGTAAGTACTTGTCCAAGGTGTCAGATCAGTGAGCCGGCAGATGAATGGTTGGTTCACAATCCGGATAATGGAGATTAAAAGAATTATACAAAGAGGAAAGTGTATATGCAAAGACACAAGAGGTGTCAAAACACAGCATTTGGGCAATTATGTTCATATGGCCAAAAGATTGAATGCTTCTCAAGAAGTGACAGGAGATAAGGCCAAACACTCCATAAAAAGGGTCTCTTTTACACTGTGCTAAATAAAAGTCTACCATTATTTTTGAAAGACAAAAACTATCACAGGAGTTTTCAGCAATCAGGCTTATAAATTAGAAATATTCTGTGTAAAGGATGGAGTTTGGAGGAGCTACGGGACTATATATTTAAAAGGTGGACTAACTGGATAGAGCAAAGGAAATAAAAGAGGATGATTACCTAGGTTTCTGATCTGAATAACAACAGTTCTATTAACTACAATCTGGAATAGGGGAAAAGTTGGAGAAGGGTTAGGAGGTAAGATCATGGAAGTATTTTAAAGGTTTATGTGGCTTTTAAATGTTTTATAGTCATAATCCCAAATCTGTCTTACCACAAATAATTGTAAAGGCTGTTCACCAGGTAAAGGAGCTGAATTCCTTTTTATTTTCATGGAGCCTTTAACCTCTTCTTCCGATTGTTTCCCTTCTGCATCTTCTGCATATTTTTTTCTTTTAATTTGTCGATTTGATCTTCTTTTCTGTAATGAACCATAAGGATTACATATTTAAATGGCTTATTTTAAAGGAAAGATTTTAAAAATAATTACTACTAGTGTGACGATTTTGTAAATTAAATTTTCAAATTGTATTCAACATTCATCCTTCTCATTTTACCTTTTAATTACAGGAGGTAATAATTTACCCTTTGCCAAAGGCTTACAACATTGTTTTACTCCCTAAAGTTTCAATTAACAAAGATTAGGAATACCTTTATTACTTCTCTTCAAAAATTGTTCAGAATAAAAATGTCTGTTTTATTTAAGTGTTTTATACCTTGGGCAAAATATATTTTATTAGTACTATCTTTGTTGATTTTTAAATTTTTTTAGAAACTATTGTTAAAATGAGTAAAAAGATACGTTTTATTTAGCCATCTCACACCTTGAACATGTATGTTAAACTATTAATACTTTGTTTTTGCCCAAAACCTAAAAAGTACACCAAATGAATACAGACTAAGTAAGTAATCAGGGGTATAAGACCAGAAGAAGAAAGTAAGTAATATTTGCCACAAAACCCATGAGCTTATACTTAAAGCAGAATAAAATAAAATGATTTAAAAGAGATACACAAAATAATAAAGTATTAAATTATCAAATAATTAATTGTTAATGAAGGAGGAACTTGTGTTTTACTAACTTTACTAGATTCCCTTAAAAATAAAGAACATCACTATCATAAAAACAGAAGCCCTTTAAAAAATATTAATGTAGTAACATACTTTCAAAATGATGTAACTAACTTAAATCAAGTATTAAACACACATGGCTTTACTTACCTCCCTAAATATCTAGTATTTGATATTCCCACTATAAATATAAAATCTCACATTGGCTTGAAAATCCCAAAGGACTTAGTTTTTGCATTTCTCCATCTCCCTAAAATTTCATGGGTATAGCATCTCAGCCAACTGTTTTATTGCTCAATATCTGATAAACCCGTCTTCCTTTTTCTATTCCATTTTCTTCTATGTATTTAGTAACTTCCACAACCACTCCCACACAACAAATGTAACCAACACAAATAACCCATGTGTTCCCCTTTAGGTTTCTGCCAATGTCTTCAATTTGGTAGATCTTTCACATTTCCATAGCTATGACAAAAATGGCTCAAGCAGTGCAACTGTGTGGGGACAAACTGTTATTTGCATCAAGAAAGTTTGTGATGACCTTTGATGTGCCTCTGCCTCTTTCTCTTGAGTAGTGAAATACTGAGAGAAAGAAAGGCAGTAATATTGTAAAGCAGGTCAGCCAAATGTAGTAGACAACTCCATGGCTCATTTAGGATGAGTCATGATCTCTTGGCCAAGAAAACACATTTTCAAAAGTTCAGGTAAAATTTTTTATAAATATGGGAGACAGGAAGTTGGCATATAAAAATTATAATAAAAGTATTTCTAGAAACCCAATTTTCCCACATCCTATTTTGAGAAACACAGGAAATATTTATTATTCCCTGGGGAAAATAATTCTATGAACCTCTAATCTGATACTAGGCTAAAGAAATGTTTATAGAGTTCTATTATAGGCATCGTAAGTTCTGAATGTTCAAGAATAGTTTAAATAAATAACCAACAATGACATTTATTATTCTATCAATAACAAGTATTACCATTGTTATGTCTCAGTAGGCACAGATCTTCTAAATAACGAGGTTTGAGAATAGTAATAATGAAGTTGAGAATATAGTTTTCCTTTTTGGTGACTTAGCCATCTATTAGTACTTTGAAATGCAACACTTAAGTCTTTGGTAAATAGTAAACAGTGGCCTGAAAGAATCCTTGAACTCACAAAAGTGAACATTTAGGTAATTCTTCACAAGACAGAATGAAGGTCACTTATTGTAAACTGCTTCCTCATCCTATGAAGACTTTCAGTCTAAAAGATTAAGAAGGCTGTAAGTTATAAAATAATATCTGATTTCACCATAAATTATATTCCACTAAAGTATATAGTTATATATTAAGCAAAGTCAAATTAGGTGCAACTCTCACAAATTATCTCTTTGTCACGCTTTATCTCTAGCTTTTTATGTTTAAAAGTATAAAAACTAATTTGATGTCCATGGTCTTAGCTAATGTGCTTTTCTCCTGGCTTTTCCCATAGTGTTTTTCAAAGCACAATTTAAAATAGTGAGAAATTGTTTATTCGAATTTTTCTTTTCTAGCTTTTTTCTTCTCCATCTTTAAGGTTTCAATGGATACAACATTTTATATAAGAGGTCAGAAACACTATGCTTTTAAATGACTAATACTTCACTATATTACTTGTTTCCTGTAATAATATTAACAATGTGCTACAATGTGCAGGGCCCTTTTTAAAAAAATTTAAGTCTCTACATAGAGATATCATATTCGCATTTTTAGATTTCTACTTGACTCCAAAACCTTAAACTTAAATTATATTTCAAACTTTCAAATCCTGACAATCAATTGTGGGTGAGAACTATTAGGGCCTCTCCATCATTTATATAATGATAGATTTAAATATATCAATAAAATAGATTTACAATCATTTATGATAAATACTTCTTCCCCATTTTTTTTTTTTTGTGTGTGTGTGTGTTAAAGCAACATGCCTATCAAAGCAATATTATAGTGAAAGGTATGGAAGAAATGTGCATGTTAACCTATTCTACCATTTCGTTGTTTGGTAATTACATAATGGACAAATGGCCAGCATAATTCTAGTAAAAATTAAACTAAATTTTCTCATATTGATTAATTATAAGCTTCCTAAGTTAAGGAGAACATATGAAGAAAAAGCCAGGCCATATCATATTAGGAGCTTCAGTCACTGCCCTTACCTCAACTCTTGCAGCAGCCCAGGAGCCTTGAGCCACTACTCTCCCATTGGACAAGAAGCTGCATAAGGAAGAAGAAAGGCCATTCAGGGGCTTTCTGGCCCCATAATTCAACAAATGCCACCACCCATACGGCCTATAGTTGTACTTTAATTATTAGAGAGCAGAGGGTGGCCTGAATTATTATGACCTTCACTATATATATATATTTCTTTAACTTCACAAGGTTATTTTGAATAGCCACCTATTCAAAAAAGAAAAAAAGGCAAAATGCACAGTATTGTTGTCTACAGTAGGGGACTTTTAATATAATTGGTTATCTTTCTTTGATAGGAGCAGACCAAAGGACTTATCTCCAGGAATGAGTCAACTGATTTGCTTTATCATTTGTATGTGATTTAAAAAATTAATATTTTAAGTTCATTCAAAAGCACTCTATAAATACAGGATAATATCACTAGATATTTCTCCATGCTAAAAGCCATCAGGGATTTTGAATTGTTACTTAATTTCTCTGGGCTTAAGTTTCATTATCTGAAAATGAGGGGTTTGGAGAGGATATGTAAATTTCCTCTCAGGTCCAACATTCTATGGTAATACTACTTAGGAGCATATTGTAATAATGCTGTCATATAAATTTTACCATACAATAAAATGTATTTTTACTACTAAACTACAGTATAAATATCCATAAAGTAGTATTATGCTATCTAAATAATTCTACCAGTATTTCATTTCTCAGAAAATTTAACAATACTCACTTGAGAGTCTTCCTCTTTGAATGTATGCTGTGGCATCTGCTCCACATCAGATATTTCATCTGAAGACTCATTCTTTCTTTTTTGTTTTTTACCCAATGTAATAATGAGTTTGCTGTTTCAAAAGTAAAAGAGTAAACATAAGACTCTGCATTTTTCCATTCTTGGTCAAATTAAGATTGCCATAATAAACTTTCTTCCATTTTATATCACTTTAATATTCAACCAAAGATGATAATTACCATGAAATCCATAATGACATTTTCAAGACAAAAGCTGTATTCTAATGGAACAAATATAAACCAGTATTACAGTTAATGGACTTCAAAGCACTGAAAGGCAGTGAAGTTCTATCACTTGCTTCTCAGGCACAAGATTATTTTTCATGGGAAAAATGTCAGATGATACCTGTTTTTAATAATTAAAATAATTCACTTATTTTACTATCATATAAATTTGGAACAAAGGTTTTTTTTCCTCCTATATCTTACTAAATTCAAATTCCTCTTAATGTCCTTGAATCCTACCTATTCCCTAAATGCCTCTACTTTTTTCTCTCCTATAGTAATTTCTCTCTTATTTAAAACACTTGAACAATGAACTGTTCTTTAATTATTTAATTTATGTTAAGTCTTCTTTTAACTATACTATATGTTGCTAAAGAGTTAAGAACTTGCTTTTATTTTTGTATTTCCAGTTTGCCTGGTTGGTCCCTCTCATACATATATGTGTATATGTATATTAATATTTACACATATATATCCAAAATGAAAATATGTTCTCAATGTTTTTTTCTGATCAGAGGTAAAGTACAGAGCTCCCACATTTCCTTATCTGGTTCAACAGATGGGTGGGTGTGATTTTAAAGTGCCATATTGGCTTTAAGGAGGAAAATTCTACCTTAGATATCTGTATTCTAATCATAGAAAGCTCCCAAAATGCTTTCAGGTGTATCAGATATCAGATTTTTTTCAACAGTTATTTACTAATGTGGGAGCACTTAGAAATCAAAGGGTCAAGGATTTTAAACCTGATTCCACCATTTACTTGTTTACCTTATTTACCTGGGCAAATTACTTTTAGCCTTAAGTTTCCTTGTCTGGAAAATAGGGAAACTACCTCTACTGTTGTTAAGAATTAAGTGGGTAATGTATGTTATTTCTTAGCACAGTCTTCACACACAGTAATTTCTCAATGAATGGTAACTAAGTCTAATTATTATATGCCAGGCACTTTCCTAGTTTCTAGGACTTGAAGGTGAAGTGGACACAGTTCCTAACCTTAAAGTATCAGTTAGAATATGATCGGTGTTAAAATTTTAAATGCTAATATGGTAGTTAGCACTTAATATAATGTGGACACAAAGGAAGAAGTACTTATGTTTAAGAGTAAAGGAAACTTTATAGAGAAGATAAAGTTTGAGACAGGAATTGAATGATGATAGGGAGTCCAAAAGGTAATAAAAAAAGAGGTAAGGTATATTCCAGGCAAGGAATACTACTGAAGAATGAGGAGAATATGCAGTAATAAGAGCAGGTCAGGGATACAGAGTACTGCAGGAGAAGGAAGCAGAGATGGTCATCTAGACAGGGTGAAGATCACAGACAGCCTTGAATGGCCTGCAAGGAGTTAACATTTTAGTTTAAGGTTAACTTCTTAGCTCCATAGGACAGGAATTTAAAAGGAATATATCTGTCATTTACCACTGATAATGAATATTTTTGAATGAATTAAAAAAATAAAGCAATTAGAAGATAGAATTTTAGACAAATAAGTTCTGGGGATGTAATGTACAGCATAGTGACTGCAGTTAACAACACTGTATTGTATACCAAGAAGTTGCCAACAGAGTAAATCTTAACAGTTCTCATCACAAGAAAAAAAAATTTCTAACTGTGATGTGATGGGTGTTAACTAGGTTTGTGGTGATCATTTTGCAATATATATAATATATATATATATATCATTATGTTGTATACCTTAAACTAATGTTATATGTCAATTATATCTCAATAAAATTGGGAGAAAAATAATTTTAAGAGAGCAATACAACAAGAAAGAAGTGAAATGCAAGGCAGGGAAATGAGTGATTATGCAAATGAGAATTCCAGTGAGATGAAGAGTGCCATACAGGGCTACGGCAAGTTATTGCTCAATATCTGATAAACCCGTCTTCCTTTTTCTATTCCATTTTCTTCTATGTATTTAGTAACTTCCACAACCACTCCCACACAACAAATGTAACCAACACAAATAACCCATGTGTTCCCCTTTAGGTTTCTGCCAATGTCTTCAATTTGGTAGATCTTTCACATTTCCATAGCTATGACAAAAATGGCTCAAGCAGTGCAACTGTGTGGGGACAAACTGTTATTTGCATCAAGAAAGTTTGTGATGACCTTTGATGTGCCTCTGCCTCTTTCTCTTGAGTAGTGAAATACTGAGAGAAAGAAAGGCAGTAATATTGTAAAGCAGGTCAGCCAAATGTAGTAGACAACTCCATGGCTCATTTAGGATGAGTCATGATCTCTTGGCCAAGAAAACACATTTTCAAAAGTTCAGGTAAAATTTTTTATAAATATGGGAGACAGGAAGTTGGCATATAAAAATTATAATAAAAGTATTTCTAGAAACCCAATTTTCCCACATCCTATTTTGAGAAACACAGGAAATATTTATTATTCCCTGGGGAAAATAATTCTATGAACCTCTAATCTGATACTAGGCTAAAGAAATGTTTATAGAGTTCTATTATAGGCATCGTAAGTTCTGAATGTTCAAGAATAGTTTAAATAAATAACCAACAATGACATTTATTATTCTATCAATAACAAGTATTACCATTGTTATGTCTCAGTAGGCACAGATCTTCTAAATAACGAGGTTTGAGAATAGTAATAATGAAGTTGAGAATATAGTTTTCCTTTTTGGTGACTTAGCCATCTATTAGTACTTTGAAATGCAACACTTAAGTCTTTGGTAAATAGTAAACAGTGGCCTGAAAGAATCCTTGAACTCACAAAAGTGAACATTTAGGTAATTCTTCACAAGACAGAATGAAGGTCACTTATTGTAAACTGCTTCCTCATCCTATGAAGACTTTCAGTCTAAAAGATTAAGAAGGCTGTAAGTTATAAAATAATATCTGATTTCACCATAAATTATATTCCACTAAAGTATATAGTTATATATTAAGCAAAGTCAAATTAGGTGCAACTCTCACAAATTATCTCTTTGTCACGCTTTATCTCTAGCTTTTTATGTTTAAAAGTATAAAAACTAATTTGATGTCCATGGTCTTAGCTAATGTGCTTTTCTCCTGGCTTTTCCCATAGTGTTTTTCAAAGCACAATTTAAAATAGTGAGAAATTGTTTATTCGAATTTTTCTTTTCTAGCTTTTTTCTTCTCCATCTTTAAGGTTTCAATGGATACAACATTTTATATAAGAGGTCAGAAACACTATGCTTTTAAATGACTAATACTTCACTATATTACTTGTTTCCTGTAATAATATTAACAATGTGCTACAATGTGCAGGGCCCTTTTTAAAAAAATTTAAGTCTCTACATAGAGATATCATATTCGCATTTTTAGATTTCTACTTGACTCCAAAACCTTAAACTTAAATTATATTTCAAACTTTCAAATCCTGACAATCAATTGTGGGTGAGAACTATTAGGGCCTCTCCATCATTTATATAATGATAGATTTAAATATATCAATAAAATAGATTTACAATCATTTATGATAAATACTTCTTCCCCATTTTTTTTTTTTTGTGTGTGTGTGTGTTAAAGCAACATGCCTATCAAAGCAATATTATAGTGAAAGGTATGGAAGAAATGTGCATGTTAACCTATTCTACCATTTCGTTGTTTGGTAATTACATAATGGACAAATGGCCAGCATAATTCTAGTAAAAATTAAACTAAATTTTCTCATATTGATTAATTATAAGCTTCCTAAGTTAAGGAGAACATATGAAGAAAAAGCCAGGCCATATCATATTAGGAGCTTCAGTCACTGCCCTTACCTCAACTCTTGCAGCAGCCCAGGAGCCTTGAGCCACTACTCTCCCATTGGACAAGAAGCTGCATAAGGAAGAAGAAAGGCCATTCAGGGGCTTTCTGGCCCCATAATTCAACAAATGCCACCACCCATACGGCCTATAGTTGTACTTTAATTATTAGAGAGCAGAGGGTGGCCTGAATTATTATGACCTTCACTATATATATATATTTCTTTAACTTCACAAGGTTATTTTGAATAGCCACCTATTCAAAAAAGAAAAAAAGGCAAAATGCACAGTATTGTTGTCTACAGTAGGGGACTTTTAATATAATTGGTTATCTTTCTTTGATAGGAGCAGACCAAAGGACTTATCTCCAGGAATGAGTCAACTGATTTGCTTTATCATTTGTATGTGATTTAAAAAATTAATATTTTAAGTTCATTCAAAAGCACTCTATAAATACAGGATAATATCACTAGATATTTCTCCATGCTAAAAGCCATCAGGGATTTTGAATTGTTACTTAATTTCTCTGGGCTTAAGTTTCATTATCTGAAAATGAGGGGTTTGGAGAGGATATGTAAATTTCCTCTCAGGTCCAACATTCTATGGTAATACTACTTAGGAGCATATTGTAATAATGCTGTCATATAAATTTTACCATACAATAAAATGTATTTTTACTACTAAACTACAGTATAAATATCCATAAAGTAGTATTATGCTATCTAAATAATTCTACCAGTATTTCATTTCTCAGAAAATTTAACAATACTCACTTGAGAGTCTTCCTCTTTGAATGTATGCTGTGGCATCTGCTCCACATCAGATATTTCATCTGAAGACTCATTCTTTCTTTTTTGTTTTTTACCCAATGTAATAATGAGTTTGCTGTTTCAAAAGTAAAAGAGTAAACATAAGACTCTGCATTTTTCCATTCTTGGTCAAATTAAGATTGCCATAATAAACTTTCTTCCATTTTATATCACTTTAATATTCAACCAAAGATGATAATTACCATGAAATCCATAATGACATTTTCAAGACAAAAGCTGTATTCTAATGGAACAAATATAAACCAGTATTACAGTTAATGGACTTCAAAGCACTGAAAGGCAGTGAAGTTCTATCACTTGCTTCTCAGGCACAAGATTATTTTTCATGGGAAAAATGTCAGATGATACCTGTTTTTAATAATTAAAATAATTCACTTATTTTACTATCATATAAATTTGGAACAAAGGTTTTTTTTCCTCCTATATCTTACTAAATTCAAATTCCTCTTAATGTCCTTGAATCCTACCTATTCCCTAAATGCCTCTACTTTTTTCTCTCCTATAGTAATTTCTCTCTTATTTAAAACACTTGAACAATGAACTGTTCTTTAATTATTTAATTTATGTTAAGTCTTCTTTTAACTATACTATATGTTGCTAAAGAGTTAAGAACTTGCTTTTATTTTTGTATTTCCAGTTTGCCTGGTTGGTCCCTCTCATACATATATGTGTATATGTATATTAATATTTACACATATATATCCAAAATGAAAATATGTTCTCAATGTTTTTTTCTGATCAGAGGTAGAAGTACAGAGCTCCCACATTTCCTTATCTGGTTCAACAGATGGGTGGGTGTGATTTTAAAGTGCCATATTGGCTTTAAGGAGGAAAATTCTACCTTAGATATCTGTATTCTAATCATAGAAAGCTCCCAAAATGCTTTCAGGTGTATCAGATATCAGATTTTTTTCAACAGTTATTTACTAATGTGGGAGCACTTAGAAATCAAAGGGTCAAGGATTTTAAACCTGATTCCACCATTTACTTGTTTACCTAATTTACCTGGGCAAATTACTTTTAGCCTTAAGTTTCCTTGTCTGGAAAATAGGGAAACTACCTCTACTGTTGTTATGAATTAAGTGGGTAATGTATGTTATTTCTTAGCACAGTCTTCACACACAGTAATTTCTCAATGAATGGTAACTAAGTCTAATTATTATATGCCAGGCACTTTCCTAGTTTCTAGGACTTGAAGGTGAAGTGGACACAGTTCCTAACCTTAAAGTATCAGTTAGAATATGATCGGTGTTAAAATTTTAAATGCTAATATGGTAGTTAGCACTTAATATAATGTGGACACAAAGGAAGAAGTACTTATGTTTAAGAGTAAAGGAAACTTTATAGAGAAGATAAAGTTTGAGACAGGAATTGAATGATGATAGGGAGTCCAACAGGTAATAAAAAAAGAGGTAAGGTATATTCCAGGCAAGGAATACTACTGAAGAATGAGGAGAATATGCAGTAATAAGAGCAGGTCAGGGATACAGAGTACTGCAGGAGAAGGAAGCAGAGATGGTCATCTAGACAGGGTGAAGATCACAGACAGCCTTGAATGGCCTGCAAGGAGTTAACATTTTAGTTTAAGGTTAACTTCTTAGCTCCATAGGACAGGAATTTAAAAGGAATATATCTGTCATTTACCACTGATAATGAATATTTTTGAATGAATTAAAAAAATAAAGCAATTAGAAGATAGAATTTTAGACAAATAAGTTCTGGGGATGTAATGTACAGCATAGTGACTGCAGTTAACAACACTGTATTGTATACCAAGAAGTTGCCAACAGAGTAAATCTTAACAGTTCTCATCACAAGAAAAAAAAATTTCTAACTGTGATGTGATGGGTGTTAACTAGGTTTGTGGTGATCATTTTGCAATATATATAATATATATATATATCATTATGTTGTATACCTTAAACTAATGTTATATGTCAATTATATCTCAATAAAATTGGGAGAAAAATAATTTTAAGAGAGCAATACAACAAGAAAGAAGTGAAATGCAAGGCAGGGAAATGAGTGATTATGCAAATGAGAATTCCAGTGAGATGAAGAGTGCCATACAGGGCTACGGCAAGGTGGATGAAGAGGTAAAGAAAGATAATTTTTTATTTTGAAAGTAGAACCAATAGGATTTGGTTATTGACTGGATGACTAAATGTGAGGTGAGTAAAAATTCTAGAAGTGATTTATTCACAGGATATTCTTGTATTGGTATTATTACCACCTTCAAAGGGATAATGGTAATTCTTAGTTGGTGTCTCACCAGCACTCTTTTGAGGTATGTAAAGAAAGCTATTAAGAGTAAAAATATAGCCTATGTTGGAACTGCAAAATCAGAGGAAGTACAAAAAGATATTCTGAAACATAAGCAACCAACCATATTTACACTTCAGTCCCTCTCACCACATCCACTGGTCATCTCCTCCCTCTTTTGGTCCCTTTCCTTCTGGTTTCTTCCCTAAAATAAAAATCTCCTTTCAGGTTTTATCTACTATTAGATACCACATGACCCTGTCATTCCTCCTTCTCATCCATAGTTCTCAAGAAAGTTACCTATACTGACTGCTACATCTTCACTCCTCCACCCACTATAATCTGAACTCTTAAGACTACTTCCATATTCACAGTTTCCATTTATTCAGTGTTTACTGAATCAGCCTTTGCTGACTTTAAATGCATTCTCTCACCTGATGTTTATTTATACAATTCTGAGAGGCAAACAGCAGTATTTTATAAAAGGAAATTCATGCTTAGAGAAAAAAATAGCTTGATTCAAAGTCATATGATAGTAAGACTGGAGACAGAGAAGGTGTATGCTCACTCCAAAGCCTGAAACCTCAAGAGGACATGGCATGTTTGTTTTCATCAGGATTCAGCTCTTGACAATACTCTTCTGCCAGTTTCATAAACCGGTATTTCTCAAAGTTCTGTCTTCAGCCTTCATCCCTCATTCTACATACTGTCTCTGGAAGATTTAATATAATCTATTTTTAACTACTGCTCAGAATTTGAAGATTCTCAAATTTCTTGTTTCTAGTTCAGATCTTTCCCCCAAGCTGCAGATTCATGTAACTATTTATTGGACTTAACCATATGGAGATCCCACATACCCCAATCTAAAAATGCTTCCAAATGCAATCCCTCACTTTCCCTAAACCTAATAGTCTACTAATATTAAAATACAGTGTAAATTCAGAGTCAATATATCAAATGAATAGCTCAGTGAATTTTCTCAAATGAACAAAAAATGCATAACCAGCTTCTAGATCAAGAAAAAAAACAGTTTCCCAGAAGTCTCCTTTCATGCCTTCTCTTTTAGTTACAATTTCCTCTGAAGGGTAACAACCATGCTATTTGTGATTACTTAATACAACCTAAGGTACTTGTGCAGATAATTTTCAATTGCAAGGTCAGGGATAACTCCAAGAAAAATTGGGCACTAGAAATACACATTTGATGCACTTGTTGTCCATCTCCAAACAGAAATGCAAGTTTTAGACTAGTTTGTAGATAAGAACAAAAGTAGTAAAAGGAAAGCTTAGTTACTTAAACAATTTCCTATGAAATGCAAATCATAGCCTATTAATACCTTTTAATATATTCCTTAAAAAAGGTACTTTCTCAGTATAAGCTAAATGAATTACATGATTTATTTTGGTATAGTATCTATGTGGCTGTTTAAAGACTCAAATCCCACTGAACAAAAACTTCAATCAAGTGAGAAGCAGAGATAAGTAAAATTTTTTTACACTTATGAATGACTGAAAAGGTTATACTGTTCCTTTCTAGTGGTATAAGGTCATTAAATGAAAATCTCTAAGGACAGTAGACTAAGCTGCTTAAACATGGCTTAATATCTAGAAAAGAAATACTAGTAAGTGCTGTCGTATCAATCCTAAACACCAACCCTACCCTATCTGGTGGAGAGGGTAGGCTAATGTATTTTCCAAAATTCCTTAGATCGACCTTCATTATATTATTTGAAAAATGTACTTAAAAACAAGAACCTTCAAATTTTATTTGCCATATATTCTGTATTTCTGTCAAATATTGTTCTAGAGGCCTGGAATAGCATCTTATTTCATAAACTCATTCTTAAATCAGACAAAATTCTTTTGGAATCCTAACTCTTTAAGAGATATTTCAGATATAGTACTTTTCTGACTTAACTTCAAACTCCAAAATATTTACACATACTCTCTCTGTTCAAAAAAGGTACATTTCCATGGTAGGAAAAAAGTTAACTCTAAAACTTACTGATGGACATAATTCTGAGTAAAATATGTTTATATTTTAAGATTTAAAAACTAGGGTTACTTACATAGAACACTGGTTCTTGAAAAATATGAATGGGTTTACTGTAAGGAAACCTTATGTTTACTGTAAGTTCTAAAAGGGTATTTGGGTGATACTACAAAGGGGAAGGTTGGTATTGATCCTAAATGTGTGAGGCAGGCTTCATTAGCAGGCTCTCTGTTAAAAATACAGATTCCTGATGAGAAACATCAGACATACCCAAATTGAGAGCCATTTTACAAAATAACTGGCCAGTATGCTTCAAAACTGAACATGTCAGAAAAGACAAAGACTGAGGAATTATCTCAAATTGGAGTAGTATACGGAGACATGACAACAAATTGAAAAGGAGGATCCTGAATTGGATCCTGGCAAAAAAAAAAAAATTAAATTAATAGGAATATATAAATGTTTATTTTCTGATTTTAGTAATTTTCTTCGGTTACATGAGATATTAACATTGAGGAAGTTGGGTGAGAAGCCTAAGGGAACTATAACCTACTGTTGCTAAGACTGAGACTAATTCAAAATAAAAAGTAAAACAACAAAAAAAAATGCCAGAGAACAGATTTGTAGGATCAACCCCAGGATTCTGATCTAATGAGATGCCTATCAGACTTCTAAAAAATCCCTCCAGAGATTCTGATGCCCCACCAAGTTGGGGAACCACTAGCTCTGAATAAATTAGCATAGAAAACTCTTGGAAGAAATATTCAGGATAATAAAACTGTTTTGTACTTACAGAATACT